GGTGCCTGCTGGAAGACCCAAAGGTGTCAATTCTCGAGGTCAGCAAGTACTACACTGAGCTGAACAGCAATCTCCTGAAGTGGTCTACTGACGCAAGCAACCTGTTAGATGGCAGTGCTCGGCCATTCTCCGACGCCAAAGTGTCCGTCGTCTGTGATGTCTACACCGCGCTTGTCGAGCCATCGGAGGTTTCTGATGCCCTCACTCTGGAGATTCTAGCGTACCTGTGTTCTACCCTGGCAGCATTCACAACACGACTACTGGCGGATCATCTACCGGGTGGGAAGTACCATCATGCGCCAACACTTGCCACTGAAACTGCTTCGGTACAGAAGACTAATGCCATTAGCGAGCGAGATTTCGCCCAGCTGGATCGCCTGAAACGTGAGAAACCGAATGCGGCAACGGTGGCATTGGAGGGTATGATCATGTTTGCCAACAATGAAACAACCGATTGGCTCCGATCTCTGCCACCATCTGAACATGCCCGGCTAGTGGAAGTTGCTCGGTCAACTGCCCCAGCTGCTCGCCAGCAGTTTAAGGACAGAAGGCTAGCCATCCAGCAACATCGTCTGGCGGAGCTGAAGCGCAAACAGAAGGAGAAGGAGGCTAAGCGCCAGGCTGACATTGCTCGCCAGGAACAATTGACGAAGGCCATTGAGCCATACACGCTGTGGACAGGCACGACCAACATCGAGGAGGAACTGGCCAAGTTGACATCAGTCACTCGCCAGAGGGATGCCTTGCGGGCCCAGCTCCAGTTCCGGAAGTTTGTTATTGGGCAGAATTCGGCGAAAGAGCTGTTCTACCTGAGTAGTGGTGGCCGTGTCCTGCCGATTCCAACACTCGTCAGTAACCTGAAGAAGCTGATAGGTGAAAGCACCACACCTGGAGGCAGTGCCACTGAAGCGAGCTCGTCCACTGCCAACCAGTGACCTGCTGTTGAAGGAACCTGCCTACTCCGTCTGTTTATACATTTGTACAGTCAATAACAATTATTTATTCTTCTGTGTGTGTGTGTGTGTGTGTGTGTGTGTGTGTGTGTGTGTGTGTGTGTGTGTGTGTGTGTGTGTGTGTGTGTGTGTGCCTGCAGTTGGATCCCGGGACGGATACCCTGATGCCGTCAATCCTTTTTCTGCACCTTGTCCTCACCCACTTACTGAGGTGTGGTGAGCCCATAAGTGGGATCATTTCAAGTCCACCCTAGTTTGGGGATTTCAGGGGGTGTCGGCCGTTGGGTGGTTCAATGGCCAATTGAGTCATCTTTCCAAGATTCCTTTTGAGTCTCTCTCCCCTCTCCCGGGGAGACCCACGTGACCAGTTTTGGCAGTGAGCAAGTACAAGTACAAGTGTGTGTGTGTGTGTGTGTGTGTGTGTGTGTGTTGATTATGACGATGATCTTGGTGCGCCTACACAATGCTCATGTTGTGCGACTCCGCCTTTTAGTCATGCGTGCGGTGATTGTGAATATCATTGGTCTATTTAATATTGCTTTAGTTTTCTTTGCTTCCGCTGAGTGCCCTGTTCCCAGCAAGCCCAGGTCTTCACTTTGACACCCTACTTGTTCCACTGTGCTTTTTGCTGGTGTTGAATTGGACCATGTTGCTTTGCGTTTTCCTGTCAATGTTGATGGCCGGCGCATACTCGCTCTCTCTCTCTCTTGTAGAATTTTTGGTTGCACTGCCATGCATTGGTGAACTGAAGTGCTTTGTAGCCTGCAGCATGTGTTGGTACTGTTGTCCCGTTGCTGTATTACTATTTGTCGATCTGTGGTCTTTAGTACTCCAAGTATGTTGCTTTCTAGTGGACTTCTTGCATTAATCGCTTGGTTGCTATGGTGGTTGCTAAGGCCCATATTTAAAATTTGGCCGTTAAATTTGAATTTTGACGGTAACCCTAGGTTTTGTGGAGGGGGGCAATCAAGCAACTAGAAAATCTAAGCAATCTGAGCTTTTTTTCCCGTTGCCATGCTGGTTGCTATGGACGGCCGAAAACAGTGCATGTGCCATATCCTCAATGTAAAGACTATGCACGTATAGTGTGAATAGCACGGAACTTCAAAAGACCATAACTTTGGTATCCCTTGGAATTTTGACCTGAAATTTTCTCTGCAGTCTTGTAATATGTTGGTCTTTCAGATAAAACAGACCTTTGTACTTAAATCTCTCCCAAGTAAAACCACCTAAACTCCCTAGCAATATCGCACTGCAGTGCATCCACATGTCATTGGCTGGCGGTGTACTGGGGAATATTGCGAGTCGCTCCGCCAGGGAGTCGCTGCTGACTTGCTGCAGCACACCAACTAACTACTGTTACTTACTTGGTCGAGGACGCTGTCGCGGAAGCGAATGTGGACCCGGCTTGCGTCCGCCAAGTCAACTTCACAAGCTCCGTGAGAGTCGAGACAGCAGACGCCCAAGTATTGGAGAAGACTGTCGACAGCTGATTTGAGAAACTGTCCGACGCCGCCATCGACAGCCTCGTTTCTGAGCAGAAAAACAAAAACACAGAGCAGGCAACTGACAAATGGCTCCGCTTATTCGACGAGTATTGTAAAGACACAGGACGTCGCTGTGACCTGAGTACGGTTACGGCAAGCGACCTAGCTTACATTCTGCGACATGCATACGTCGAATTGCGTCCGAAGAAAGCTGGAGTGAAGTTCTACTCTGCATCAAGCTTGCTCGGTTTCCGTTCCGCAATACATCGCAAGCTAGTCGAGTTGAAGCGGCCCATGAACGTCCACAATGACCCAGCGTTCAAGGACGCAAACATTGCATTGAAGGCCTTCCTCATGAAGCTAAAGGAAGCGGGAGCAGTCAAAGCGGTGGAGCACAAACACCCAATCAACGACGATGACATGAGCAAGCTGTCCCGCTACTTCCAGGATCTCCCGTGTATAATAAATGTATTACTTCACTCGGACGCGTGCAATACCGGCGTCGATATCTGCACTTACGGCTTCGCCGTTCGTGCAGATATCGGCCGGTATTGCACTGGTCCTTGTGCAGTAATACATGCGTACAAGAGGACAAACTCAACACCACTTGGTATCTCGATCCTGGGAGCCCGCTGGCGTCTGTTTGGGCACGTGCTGCGGCTGGACCAGAGTGCACCGGCAAACCTGTCAATGTGCTCCTACTTCAAGCCATCCACTGAGCCTACCTGGAGGGGCAGGCCGCGCACAACTCTGCCGGTCGTGCTCAGACACGATCTCGAGCTGGTTGGGAGGACCCTCAAGACCTTGGCAGATCTTGAGGAGCTGAGGAGCATCGCCCAGAATCGCGGGGCGTGGAGCTACCTCAGCGGCCGTATCCTGGAGAGATATGTTGCTGCTCACGGATGAACCCTGGTAATGATCAGCAAATTCAAATTCAACTCGGTTGAGCTGCTCGTTTGCTTGATTTGTATTCTATTTTCGTCACGCGTTTTATATTGCATAATGTTTTTATATCGCCATCAATATCCTGTTTGGCTGTTGTCGCTTCGGCTTATGCGAAAGCTACACATGCTGTGTATATCTACATTGCATTGATGGCAACGCAGAGAAGCTTCTAATAATAAATAATAAAGATAAATACTGGGGAAGGAAGTGGATTTATGGCGTTTTGCTGCATTCAACTTGCGGTCCTGTCCATTTTCACATGTGCAAATCGTAGAATTTGGCTGCTTCAAGCGTTGGAGCTGACAATTCATTGAATCACGACTGCCATACGGTTTCAAAGTGATGGCGTTGGAAGTCAACAAAATTTGTTGACTTCAAAAAATTTGTTGACTTCCAACAAATGACTTGTGGGTCCGATAGGATTCAGTCGGAGTTTTGTCAAGTAGAATATCATCATGTCGGAAGCTCTTGTGACTTTTTGTTTCATAGTGGTTCCCTAGCCAGGAGGTCCTACTCCCATCAGTTCCTGCGGATGTGTTGCCCTGCTGTGAAAGGAACAACCCAAACGCATATGAATCCACACAAAAACTGGATGCAGACTGGGAGTGAATTCAAAAGTCAGTGTTGTCATGACTCCGGTCTGGATGTGACGATACACATTCAAGTCCTATTTAATTTGGAGGACACTAAAAGTACTGTACACTCAAGCGCCCCTTATCCGGACGCCTCAGATACGGGCACGTCTCTCTACCGGGCACCTTCAGCTTGAGTTCCTATGGCAAAAATGCTTTGAATTTTGGGGGGGGGGTTGAACTTTTTTTGTATGCGCAAGTGCTTGTTTGTCACTGCCAACCCGTGAAATCCACACATTTTTATCAATGTATTCTTTCTGTAACCTGAACATGTGCAATACTTGCCAAATATACTTCTTCAAAAAATGATACATGCATGGTAGATGAGTTATCATGAGATACGGGCTAATTCGAGATATCGCCTGCATTACATTGTAGGCAAATGGAATAATGTGCTATGATGACACTACATTATAGTGCACTCCCGGAGTTTCAAGTTCTCAACTGTGATATTGATGAGTGGCTGCATGTTGGCACAACGTATAACAACACATCCGTAACATCATACGCAACGGGCACTGCGGATGCTTGTGAAATGTTGGCACTTCATGCAGTGATGCTTGTTGGCTAATAGTATGGTTTCTTACTTTCACACTGTTTCACTCGTGCACAAGCACAAGCAACTGTTCAGATGCTTGCGGATGGAATAGGGCTACATTGTCTGAGAATGTATTACATTAAACTGGCACCAACATAGCCTTGTTAATTAACACTGGCATGCTAGTGTTTTGCAACATCTAGTAATGTGATAATATCCCCACTATCGCTACTGTGGAAGGTTGAGGCGTGAACGGCTCTAACCAGTGTGCTGTCCATTGATACTTGTACAAGCTAGAGTGTCCGGCCCAATCACTCTTCATTGTACACTCACTGTATTTTGCTGAGAAGTGAAGACAAGGGAGTTATCAGCAGCCTTTGTGTACTTTTTGTCTTCGTGTTGTTTGCATTGTGCTGCCCTGTTCTGTCCCAATTCTTTGCTGTAGGTCTTCTTGTTCATTCAGGCCCACGTGTCATTTTTACCTTCACTGAAGAAAGGAGATGACACAGGCATCAGCTGTAAGTTGTGATTGAGGGACAGATGAAGTTTGAGAGAGAGAGAGAGAGAGAGAGAGAGAGAGAGAGAGAGATGAAGAGAGAGAAAGAGATGACAGTTGACATGCTTGTCAGTTTGACACATAAATTATGACTCGTGTCTGTCGTGTTGCCAAGTACAACGCGACGACTGTATGGCGTGTCCGGTTACTAAAAATGTACGTGTCCGTTTAGACCGTTATAATTATATCAGTTCAAAGATTTGAATATGCGTGCGGGCAGATGGCACATTCAAGTCAAGAGAGGGCTTTTTTCTTGCTGGCTACATGAACCTCCTGCTGCAAGAAGACGTGTTTCTGTAGTTCGTTTCACATCACAAGGAAGGATGTGCTGGTGTTAGTCTTGTTTGCCTGTGTAAAGGTGCCAGCAGAAGTATTCAAGATGGATTGTTAGTGCCAACCGCCACACCTCAAATTGCACTGCTCTTCACTCAAGCCTTTTGATTTGTGTTCGACGTTTTGGTCTCTGGCCGTCGTCCAGTATGATGGAGAGACGAGGACGCTGGGCGAAGCATGGCGAATTTTGAGTTCGCACTCCAATTAGAGTCGAACTCGGTGATGAAATTCGCCTTGTGGTAAGGATTTAGCAACAGAATTTTCGCTTGCATGGCGTTGACAGGTCGTACATGTGCACACCTGTATGTACTGTACAGCGTAGTAACTTTATGACTGCCTGACACGAATCTAGTTTCTTGAAGCCAGAGAATAGACAGTGAATGAGGGCACATACCAGGATATAATATACACACTATAGTATAGGACTAAGGAAGGGATCATAGTGTTAGGTGATGTGTACTCAGCACATGGCAAGTGAAGAAGATGTAGGTGTGTGAACAAGGTGTGCAAAGCGGCGCGAATGTGCGCGTTAGCTCAGTGTGGCAGGCATATGTCACACTCAGCTCGTGATCACACTTGCTAGGTCTTGTCGCATCTGGTACATTGTATATCAGCCCTATCTAGAACTGCACCTTGTGTCATTGTATATCAGCAGTGTATATCAGCCCTATCTAGAACTGCACCTTGTGCTGGTGATGTGTCTTCACCGCGGGTATGAACTACTCCTACCCATGTTCTGCCTTTGGCACATAAGCTATGCGTCTGGTAGAACTCCTGTCCATTCTACTTGCTGAGGAACACAGGCAGGAGAAACTTGTAGTGTTTGTTTAGTCCAAGTTCTTTTTGGTTTTGTTCCATTTGCTGTTTTAGGCCAAGCCATGTTGTTTGGCTGTTGCAACAAGAATCCAGCACAGACAGTAAGTTGCCACTATAAGGATGGAGAGTAGGGGTTGAGAGAGAGAGAGAGAGAGAGAGAGAGAGAGAGAGAGAGCGCGTGGTGTTTTCTAACATTTGCAGTTATTGGACTTCATGACTATACTCTTGTCCTGTGTGCTTGTGTCTGCTGTTCATTTCCTGTTAATTGCGAGCTCGTATGCCAGTGTTGCAGTTGAACATTTTGTATTGTATGGTGGCATTTCTAGGGTTTCTTTTTGCATTTTGTGTGTTGTAGTTCAATCTTTAAGGTCGAGCGCCATTGCTGGTGTCTCAGCTGGAGCATGTGCGACTTACTGCATCTGCGAAACAATCACGCTTTTGAAGAATTTTCAGATCTGACGAGGTCGTTGATGTGATGATTTGACCATGTCGATATCCAGCCATTTAGAATTCTCCAGGAGGTAAGGCGTTTTCCAGTTGTCATGGTTGTGATGGCTATAAGTCAGTTGCTATCTTGGTCATGTACTACACAAGGGCATGCTTGTCATATTACATTACATGTAACTAACCCTCTTCGGTCCTACGTAACCATGAACCTTCCAAGTTGGAAGCCTGATGGTCTGCGCACTGGAGATGTGTTAGAGCTAGGTCTCGGGTCGCTGAATGTCACAGTAGCCTGTCAGTTTCGTGCCCTATTATCGCACTTTCTGACTGTTTATCATCTTGTTACAGTCGTGGGTAGTTGCTGCATAACTCGTTCCCATGTGTTTCCTCTCTTTTTACATTTATTACTGGCTCAGTATCCGAGTTTAAATTTAACACAGAATACATTGTATTTTAAAATGAATTCTGTGTTAAACTGAATTTGAATGTCTCGCCTGCTGATGCATTGTACAAGTTGCCCTATTCCGTTATCACTGTGATTGCCCCATTCCAATATCACTGTGATTTCTCCAGCAGACAGTGGAGTATTTGTGTTGAACTGAAGCGCTTCATTGTACTGTGCAGCCCGCAGTATAGGTATAGGTAATCACTGATCGGCAAACCACCTGTACTAACTTGCTAGAAGAGTAGGTAGATGCTAGATATCGAAAGAAGTGGTATACATGTACTGTCGTGGACATGGAAATCCGGTCGCACGTCTAGTGGCCCCAGGGCGCTGGCCATGCAGCCGTGGATAGCGGTACACACATGCATTTATGCACTGCAGTGCAGCGCGCTGGGCGAATCGGATCAACAATACATGACTGTCCACTGCACGCAGCGCTCTGTACGCGCTGAGGGAGCCGGCCCCGGTCAATCGACTGGATTTCCATGTCCGCTACAGTAGTTGACTGTGGGAATTTAGAGAATATGCATAAAAGACGACAGAAGAGTTGGCCGTTGCTGTTCTGAAACGGCTCTTGCTTGTTTAGCTGACTGCCGATTTCGCTGTAGGCATATTTTAAAAGGTGGCAGACTGGTCGTAAATTTCATATGGCATTCAATTGACCGTAACTTTGGTGTCTCTCAATGGATTTGAGTGAAATTTTCACCACACACTCCTGCCACTATGCTGGCCCTCTGGACATGATTTAAAAGTTCTTGTGCCTCACTGACAGGCTTGCCAGGCCGGAAAAACTCAAAATTCCGGCATAGTGTCAGGGTGTGCGAGCCACCCAGGAGCCAAATAAAATTTATTCCCGTAGCTATGCAGAAGACGTTACTTCAGTAACGTCTGGCGCTAGCCAGGGTCCACACAGCTTTAATTTGGTATTTGTGTGTGTGTGTGTTTGTTTGTTTGTTTGTGTCACGCCTGGCGCTATCCGTATCTGACGGCAAAAAAGCATAGGATGTTATACATTTTTCAATTCTCCTATTTTTTTCTGGCATATCCTGGGATTCGAACCCGCACTATCGCCCTACATGAATTCCCCCATACACTTCGCATTCATACCCATTCTTCCAAGTTGCTTCACGTTATTATCTTGCGTTTGAAAGCCCTATTTGAATATTGCGGGCAGCTGTATGTGGCCAGCTGTGTTTAATGGTACGGAACGGTACGGGAGACGGTGTCGTATTACCCTCGATCGTACCTGTCCCGTACCTATCCCCTACCGTACCGTGCCATCAAAGACGGCTGGCCACAATGCATATTCAAATAGGGCTTTCAAATGCAAGATCACAATGTGAAACAACTTGGAAGAATGGGTATGAATGCGAAGTGTATGGGGGAATGCATGTAGGGCGATAGTGCGGGTTCGAATCCCAGGATATGCCTGAAAACAAATTGGAGAATTGAAAAATTTATAACATCCTATGCTTTTTTGCCGTCAGATCACAATGTGAAACAACTTGGAAGAATTAGTATGTATGCGAAGTGTATCGGGGGATGCATGCAGGGCGCGCGATAGTGCGGGTTCGAATCCCAGGTTATGTCTTAAAAAAAGAGGATTTTTTTAAAGAATTTATAACATCCCTATGCTTTTTTTTGTCTAGGTCATCAAGGCAAAAAAGCATAGCGTAGGGCCCTGAGCTTCCAAGCTCTCTCGTTTAATGCATTTACAATTTTTTCAAATCGTCTTGCCCATTCTGTCCGTGCGCGGGATCCAAACCTAAAAAAAGTCCAGAAGCAGCCATGTGTGGTGGGATAGGGCCCCTCAACGTGGCCCTGGAATCTGTCACAACAGCACAAGTGGGCGTTCTCTCACAGACTCCCACAGACCCAAGTCAATTTTTGAATTTGTTTAGGTTAAGCACATTTTCGTACCTTTGATACAACATCCAGTGCTGGGACCTCCACAGCAAGCCATTTCCACAGCGCTGCACACCAAATCCAGGATACCCTCAAAAATCGGCAAAGACTACCACTCACGTTCCACTACTGCCTAGTACTGAATCCTACCTGACTTCTTGACACGACTCAAACTTGCCAAAGTCACTAAATTAACGTCAACTACAATAATCAAGCCACATATCTGCAACGTCACGAGGGTGCTGGCAAAAGTCCTGCTGCAATACATGGCTAAAAAACGTGATTTTTTGGACTTGGAGCAAAATTCTGCACACTTTCGCGCTTTTCCATGATACGACAAGTTGCTCACGGTCTGCTCAGATTCAAATACAGTGCTGCCAAAAAAATGACAGCGTGCAACAAAAAAATCTTTCCTTGCAAGGGCACATTTTCGGCCATAACTCTTGAACGGCTGGTCAGATCGACATAAATTTTCAGAGATTTTGCAGCTATTCATGCTCTTTCAACTGATGTAGCACTCGATATGAATTCGATTTTTTAGGGAATTTACGGGGAGACTGCTACCTTAAGTGATCTACAGTCGCACTAAGTGAGGTGAAATCCGATCCAAAGTAGAAGCGGGCAACCTGGACCAGTTCCGATTACATCACTGTATTTGTACATGTGTACATCAAGCAGCATTCGTACCACCAAGACTGGCACGAGTAAATCAGCTCCCAAGAGTGCAGTGCAGTGTGCAGCTCTGTATGGAGTAGTAGTACAACAGTGCTGCTCGCTGACAGAAATCCACTCAGCTTGTGTGAGTCATCAGCACAGCATCTAGCATGGTCATGGCAGATATTCAGACTGCGTGTACTCTGACCTATGCTGTGCATAGTACAAAACGTACTTGCAACACGTGGTGTAAGGTCTTGCCGCCCGAGACCCCATATGCAGAGTTGCAAGCTCTTGGGAGCTTATTTACTCTTGGTTCCACCTCCAGGGCATCAAGTGAGGGCGCCAACTGTTCTGCACGTTGGGTCGGATTGCATGTGCCATGCACTGCACATAGACATCGCAGAAAACCAGAAACCAAACAAAGTGTGAATCGTCTGCCTTGGTTACAGCTCATCGCAAGTGTCTTGCGTCGCCCATCGCACCGAAGACAGTGTCGCAAATTGTGCTGAAGTGAGGTATTGCACTGCATCGCACTGTATTGCCCTGTATTGCCCCAAGCGGGTGACTTCTCAACGTGAGTGCGTGTTGCGTGGCCACTATTTCTGTGTTCTCCATGCATTCAGGTTGCAAACTATCCAGGACACTATCCAGGACAGTATCCAGGAGTGGTGATCACTTCAGAAGTAAGTGTTTTACTATAATAATAGTATCAGTTAAAACACTGACAACACTGACAGCACTGACAGCACTGATTGTAGGTACACTATAATAGCAATCCGAAAGTGAACAAGTGCACACTTTCACGAAATCTGGAGGTATCTTGAATATGACACAAATACCCGCGTGGTACTGCAACGCAGAAAGCACTTTAAAATAATTTAAAAATAAATAAGGACGGAACTACGTTGCTGTCATATAAATAGCAGGTTGAAATGCATTGATTTCATACGTCTGTCATGTGTAGCATTGCATCATAATAATGATAGGGTCCGGCTGTCATGTATAGCACTGCATCATAAGTATAGCATTGCATCATAATAATGATAGGGTCCGGCTGTCATGTGTATTGTCATAATAATGATAGGGTCGGAACGTTTAGATGTGACCTAGTATTATAACAACTGTATGTTCTACATCTTCACTCTCTAAGAAACAAAGTGCTACATATAAAGATGGATGAGTAGTATGACTCGTGTAGCTCAAAACATGCAGACATGCATGTAAAGTTTTGGAAACTCTGGAGCTGGTGGTGCGTAGAACAAGAAAAACCCTTGCTCTGCTCCTCTTGAGCATCTCAATAACTGGTATTGCGTAGGCAACAGTGATTGTAGCATCTGAGGCTGGCTGCCCTGCACAACATATCTCGCCACTCAACATTCGTCTCCAGCCGCTGCGTTTTCGTTCAGGTTGAGCGTGTAGTCGCGAAACAAGGTTGGATTCTCGACAACAACTGCAGTGCCACTGTTGCAAGTCTCCATGTCATGAGATTCCCTGTATGTCACACACAACACAGCATACAACACACCACACACAACACACCATACACCATACACCATACAACACAGCATACACCACACAACACACCATACAACACACCATACAACACAGCATACAACACAGCATACACCACACACCATACACCATACACCATACAACACAGCACACACCATACACCATACAACACAGCATACAACACACCACACACCATACACCATACAACACACCATACAACACAGCATACAACACACAACATACACACCATACAACACAGCATACAAGGCAACACGTTTGGTAACTGTGGCGGGTCACTGGTGACATCTTTCACCTCCGTTGATTTCAGGTGTGAAGTGCGGGGCCAGGATAGGCTATAAAAGTAATCATTCCAGGAGGGGATGGTGGTCGGGGTTTGGGATGGCTTTTAGGATTTCAATTTTCTTCTTGCCTTTAATGACTGCACCTCTCTTTTAGTTCCTTGGTCCTTTTTTTACCTTTTTTAAATGTAGTTATGCACCATCAATAAAGAATGGTTGACAAGGTTGTACCTACCAGCTTGGTGTCATGCAGATGCATGGACAGCTTCTTGCCTTTAATGGCTGCACCTCTCTTGCTTTCCCGGGCATTCTTCTTGCCTTTAATGACTGCACCTCTCTTGTAGTTCCTTGGTCCTTTTTTACCTTTTTTAAATGTAGTTATGCATTATCAATAAAGAATGGTTGACAAGGTTGTACCTACCAGCTTGGTGTCATGCAGATGCATGGACAGCTTCTTGCCTTTAATGGCTGCACCTCTCTTGCAGTTCCTTGGTCCTTTTTACCTTTTTTAAGTGTAGTTATGCGTTATCAATAAAGAATGGTTGACAAGGTTGTACCTACCAGCTTGGTGTCATGCAGATGCATGGACAGCAGCAGCACATGAAACTCAGGAAGAAGAAGCAGAACGAGCCGATAACACCCAGAGCAACGGGTTTCCACTCTGAATCCACTTGCGTCGTGCAGTTTGCTTCTTGACGCTGCCGCGTCGTGACTTTGGTGATCGACGAGGAAGACGAATTCCATGAGGAGTTGCTCGAGCGAGTGAAGAACGCCTCCAAGTGCCAGAGTCCGAGCACGTGCACAGCTGCATATCCACTGACCGTGTGCAGCTTGTGATGGCGCATGCAGCGCTGCGACACCAGCACGTTGATCAGGATCGTCATGTGCTCGTGCGTTGTCTCGTTGTAGGTGGAGTTGCTGATGTTCCACGTCCACGACATGTTGGCCTTGTCCAGTGTATAGTTCTCACTGTGTAGATAGTACACTCTGTAGGTAGTTAGTAGCAAGGACAGAGCCAAGAGAAACAATGACACAACATGCAGAACAAAGACAGACACACCATGCAGAACAATTGCACACCATGCAGAACCGCTGATCATCAACATGCCATGTCATTGACAAAGAAACAGCCACGTTTCACAAGACCTAGGGGTAAAGCAATCATGCTGATCACCTGATCACCGTAGAGTCCTGTACATGTAGATTTACTACCAGTGAAGGAGATTGGGTGCATGCAGTGAATGTAGTACTGAGCAGATGCAGGCACTGCTGTACGCAACACATCCCAGTGCTGGGCATTCTTGTGGATATAGCTGGGCACAATCCAGCATGGCGTGTGTGTGACCTTTCTCACTTGATAGCATTGTTGTACCATCATCGCACTACACATTTTGTTTTTTTGTTAGTACTTGGCAGCCTTGATGGAATTCCTGTTCCCTGCTGTATACTTGTAACCAGGCTACATGTGAAGCGACAGCACGCAGAGATCCAGCAGGCAGAGATCCAGCATTTATATGGCTCCCGTTACTTCCTTATTAGGGTTGTACTCGATACTCGCGATCATTTCCAGATGTGCATATCAATTACTGCAATGGCTTTTCAGTCACAAACATGCTAAGAAGACGTGCAGGCCAAGACATTTACAGCCCTATCTAGCTCAAGGACAAGTGGGGGCGTCACACACGGTATAACCAGTACGACCATGATTGTACCACCTTTTGTCCAGGACGGTCCGCCCCAGGGCACCAGTACAGCCCTAAAATGTGCCGGGTTGGCCGAAAAATCAGATTTCTTTCTCCCCGCGGATATCCCCCAGACTCCCTGTCGTACCACTCCTCACTGCCCTGTGACACCTCTGACAAAATAAATGAATGCCAGGCTTGATATCATCAGGTCAGCTCCGCTGTACATGTAGATCGTCATCTTTCGTTTAGAAATGATTGCATGATTTAGAATATCCCTTACTGCTGTGATAATGCTTGTCTCCAAGCTAGTCTCATCTCCACGTAGCACTGTAGCTCGTTGGGTTGTGAACAGTAGTGCTCTGCCTCCAGTAGCGCCGTTGCCTGGTATCCACGCAAGGCCACCGTTGACTCCTGCCGCGCACACAAGCAAGAATGTCCATGGTCAGTTTAGAATTGCACGGCGAATCAGGCGTGGCGGTGCCTCAGTACAATGCATGGCTGGTGTAGGATTATGTGAGCAACATGCATGGCTATGATAAACTGCAGAATGCTCAACGGTACATGAACAACTTGAGTCTAAATTGGCGAGCATGCACTAACGAGGCTGCACCATTGCCTTTCGAATAACAAATGTACATGTACACACACACAAGCACGCACGCATGCACGCACACACACCAACACACAAACACGGAATAGAACGCACATTTTTCTCGTCAAACGGCTCTACTGTGACCTCCACAACTCTAGGTACACCGTAAGAGGGTTGTCCGTTTCCACCTCCACCGTTTCCATCAGCTGCCGGCATAGTTGTGGGCTCGGTTGTTGGTTGTACTGCAAAGCACGATGCCGGTACAACCCGTTGAATGACATCCGGGCAAGTCGGAAGAGCTTGGGGTAAAGTAGTTGGTGTAGTGGTCGCCCTTGTCGTGGTAGGGGTGGTTGTTGGTGCTGTGGTAGGGGTGGTTGTTGGTGTTGTGGTAGGGGTGGTTGTTGGCGCTGTGGTAGGGGTGGTTGTTGGTGTTGTGGTAGGTGTAGTTGTTGGCGTAGGCATCAGGCTAGTCGTTATCACATTTGTGGGTATAGATGTTGTGAAGGTGGTGGGTATAGATGTTGTGGGTATGGATGTTGGAGTGGAGGTTGGGGTAGTAGTTCCTGTTGTTGCTGGGACGGTGGTTGTTGCCGCTGGTGCTGGAGCTGCTGGTTGCGCTAAATCACAACACAAATGTCACATACCAAGGGAGAGAGTGAGAGTGCATAGACATCGTATTCCCGTAGAACAGCACTTTTCTTCACCGCAATATTCCACCGGCCGCACCCCATGCAATGAATACATGAAGGGCTTCATTGCAAAACGAGATAAATCCGTTTTGACCAATTTTCAGGAGGAGCGATTTTCTGTGATCAACAACTGGGTGGGTTTGGGTCAAATTTAACTTAGCAGATGAGAAGAGTAGGGTGATGTATGCAAATACAGGCTTTCTCGAAAATCAGGGGCCATCCATTATCTCAAGCAAGGTGATTCTTCAATATTTTTGGGCAAAACCAGAGGTACTCGCCAGACTAATCAGTATTATGAGATTAGAAAGTACAAGTGCAACGACTTCACTGAGTTCCGAAATCTGAAGGAGCTCAGCAGCAGCAGCAGCAGCACTGCCAGCAGCAGCGTCGTCCATCCCTGACGCCTCTAGCATACTGCCCTTTGCAGTTTCGAAAGCGAAAAAACAACAGCTACGAAGAAGATGATACGAAAAGAACGAAATGACAACGTAGATGTAGCTGCTACAAAGCACCAACACGAAAACACTGTACTTTGAACTCTGACATCGACATTTTGCACAGGCTCAGTCTAGTCGCGATGTTTGCCACGTGCTGCGCCAGCATGCACTCGCTGGCTTGTCCTAGGTCACGCTGGCCTGCGCGACAGGATATATTGCACTTTGCTCGAAAACATCGGTGGTGTTTATCGCGTTTTGCAGTAGAACGTCAACTTCAACAGTCAGTGTCAGTGGGATATGTCTCGTTTTGGAGAATTCTTTTTGGCCATCAGATGCAGTGATCCCTACTGATTCGATTGACACCGAAAACGCCATATGCATGAGATTGGCGTTTAGCGCGTTTTGCAATGAAGCCATTCACATGTAGTCTCTGTGTTGTTCATACTAACTGCCTTAGGAGTCATTCATTTTACCGAGTGCTTTATCCTCTGCTAGACTCCCGAGAGCAAGAGTAACTATCCTAACGTATTCCAGTCAAGCTTCAGTGTAAAGTGCCCAGGACAAAAAGGGCAGTCCGGGGCTACCGATCGTTGTTGTTTATTTTTTAAACGAAAAGTTCAAGTATTTTTCAGCTCTCAACAACCCACCCAACCACCGTTTCTGCAGGTAAACGAATTGATTTCAATATTCGGCACCCAGTAGTCCGTGTACAGTCAATGATTATTTCCAAAAACGAAACTACTAAACCCCACCAACAACCAAATGAAATCTTTTAATTTTGACAAAAAAAAACAATTGGAAACCTTGGACAGGCCCTCAGGGAGCCATCCAAGGTTACCAATCGTTCTTTTTTCAGCACGATATTTTCCGTTTGGCTGTGGGTTTTAGGAGTTTTTGTTTCCGAAATAATTATTGAATGCACATGGAAAAAGTGCCAGGTAGTACATGGGTGAGGAAGATTGTTTTATTCGCATACAGGATAGGTGGGTGGTGGTGGTGGTGGTGGCAGAAAAAGTACTAAAATGTTTCGTTTTGAAAACACAACCGGTAACCCGGACGGCGGCCAACATGCAATGTGATATAAACAATTACTTTTGTAGAGGACCCTGCAATATGCTATACGAGTGATTTGACCTTGGATATACAGTACCTCCGCTATAAAGTACAGATCATACAGCCTGTTGAGGTCTGGTATACTGAAGTTTCACTCTGCTAGTATACTAGTAGTAGATTCTAGTACTAGGGTAAGGTAATGTACAATGTACATAGTCCTGTCTGGAATCCCAAGTGGACACCGGCAGTTGTACAATACACTCTCCCTGGCCTTGGGAAGCCGTTATCAAAGAACACAGTCTTCTTTCTGCGACTTACTGCAGTTTCGTGTGTTACAGACTTTGATCTCATTGCTTGCTCCAATGCACTCCCCGGTGCTATTGTCGCCGCAGGCACGGATCCTCCACTGTGTTCCTCCTTCACAGGTCACTGTACATTCCGACCAAGAGCCCCAGGACTCCCAGCCAGGATCTGACAATCCAAACAGAGACCGAGATAGAAAGACACACAAAGAGAGAAAGATAAAGAGAGAGAGAGAGTGAGAGAGAAAGTGAGAGAGAGAGAGAGAGAGAGAGCGAGAGAGAGAGCGAGCGAGCGAGCGAGAGAGAGAGAGAGAGAGAGAGAGAGAGAGAGAGAGAGAGAGAGCGAGAGAGAGCGAGAGAGAGCGAGAGAGAGCGAGAGAGAGAGAGCGAGCGAGCGAGAGAGAGAGAGAGAGAGAGAGAGAGAGAGAGAGAGAGAGAGAGAGACACAGAGAGACAGAGAGACAGAGAGACAGAGAGAGAGAGGGAGAGACAGAGAGAGAGGGAGAGACAGAGACAGAGAGGAAGAGACAGAGAGAGGAAGAGAAAGGGATAAATATTGTCATACAACAGGAATGGTTTGATTCACAAGGATTATTCTGGCCTGCACACAGCCACTGTAGCCTAGCCAATTCCAATGTGGTTAGGTGATTCGTGAATATTGTTTTCATATGGGAGCGCACAGCACGCACTGGGTTGTCTTTCATTGTAATGCTGCAGTGTGTGGGATGGCCCATTGCCAAAGGTGACCACTGTCTACAGTGCAAACACAACACATCAACCATGCTAGGCACCTTCCCAGCCAGTCATAATCAAGTGACTACGGACTCACACACAATGGCATTATGTCGTGTCATGTCACTAGTGAGTGCCTCGGCCATCTGATCACAACGCTACTCACCTGGATAGATGGCATTGGACGCACTGGTAACGGCAGCCTGTACTTGTGAGGCATCAGAGACGGCCATCATGAACTGACTTGCCGGTTGCTTGGAGAGGCTGAGTAGCATTGGTGAAACTGTATCACCGCCCAGCGCAACGCCAAACACGTCAACTCCGTCACTGATCATGCTAGTCGACAGGTCCATAGCCAGCTGTGGGGCGGGCTGTGGAGAATTGGAGCAGATCATCACGGACGCGTGGTACGCCGAACTGCCATTGACATACTGTGACTTGATGAGCAGTTCGGACATGTTCAGTGCCTTGGTTGGGTTGCTAGCTGGGGATGGATCGGCTTGAATGCCGTCAACTAGTACCAGCACTGCCTGTGTGTTCGGATTAGTCATTGTAGCAGTGTCAATGAGCACGTTGGCCTGGTCTGTGAATGAGATCAGTGTGAATATGCCTCCTGAAGAGCTGACGGGCGGTCGCATGGCCTCCACCACCTGCTTGATGAAGAGCCTGAGGAAGACCATGTAATAGGCACTTTGCATCATCTGATTGTCCACAACTAAAACCATGTGAGAGAGGCGCGTGCTGCTGGAAGCTGGGTAACACAAAACAGAGCATACACAGACACACTACTAGTCATATTGTATACAATGTGCGTTTTCCATGCCGGACTTGTGTGTGTGTGTGTGTGTGTGTGTGTGTGTGTGTGTGTGTGTGTGCTGGCATCTAGAACTACATGCATAGGCATATGTCTACCGCGAGTTGTTTAGAATTCCCCGGTGTTGCTTGCCATGTTGACGTCCCACGAACTGTCCTTGTCTCTCTTTATTCCTGTACAGTGCTGGCTAATACTTGTCACTCCAAACGGACACCTCCCGACGTTCGATTTCAGGCAATTTACACCCTTTCCTCTTGTGGTAAGGCTACATAATGAACATGATTGACTAGGCACCAACACAATCTGCAGGCTTGCTGTTGATACAGTTTGGGCTGAGGGTAATTTTTTAAATCATACATCAGTTACTTGAGAGCACTGCACGAGCGTGTACTGGCGGAGCAGTACCGATGTCACGGTATTCCACTTTCCTACCATATATTCTGTGTCTCTTGGATGCAAGTTTGGTGCATGTGGATGCAAACTAAAAAAAACCCTTGCCCCATCGGGGTCTGATCCTTCTCAGGTTAAAGATAGGCATTGAAGCAGGTCAGAGCAGCCTGAAAGTCAGGAATTGCCTAGGAAATACAGAGTACCGTGAATGTTATTGTGCTTACATGGTGCTGACGTTGGGCACTCCGTGACATTGCACACCACATTCTCAGTACTGTTGCCAGAGCACGCCGATGCCGGAGCGTTGCGTCGGCACTGACGAGTGCGGTAGCGTGAGCTGAAGAAACCACAGCTTGGCACGCACGGTGTCCACGCAGACCAGGATGCCCATCCGTAGCCTTCAAAATACCAATAATGCACAACACGAGCATGAATCATCATCAACAGAGAAAACCGAGTGTGTGCATTGTTGGAAATTTCCATTCAAATTGAAGGACACGTTTCTGTCTTGTGTGCATCATGTTCTCTGGTAACTTTATTCTAGAATACAAACTGCAGTCAACCTCATGGCCCTGATAACGATCTTGGATATAACAACACAATGTACATACCCTAGTGACCGTTTGACTGTATACTTTCAACGTCGCGAATAACGACACTTGTTTCTCATGCACGATCGAGTGTCATTATTTGCAATGTTAACTGTATCTGCATTCCACACACTCGCAGTCAAGTCACCAGAGCTACTTGTATATTATCTAAGCAGGAAGCTGCTGCCTGCGCCATTTCTTGTTCCATACGAGGACAGTCACTTCAGTACACCAGCAAGGTCAATACTCACCAGCTTCAAGCTGTGCCTCCATCGTCGACGAGACACTTGTGAGTACTGAGAAGCTTGAGGCCACGTACAGGTGACTCTCTGACGGCTGGCTAGTTAGCGTGGCCAGTTCGGCCACACCGTTGCCATTGCCGATATTGACGGCAAAGATCTCCACGCCGGATGACTGCAGGTTGCCAGCCAAGACCTGTGTACTGCTCGTGCTGGTGACGTCCTGAGCAGCAAGGGTCATCAGTATTGGCCGACGTTCCGCCGACAGACTACCGCTCTCCGCTGTGAAGTACTCGCCTGCAGCCAGCTCCATGGCCAGTGACACGTTACATGCACCGTACGAGTACTGCGACATGGAGTTGATGGCGCTGATCACATTGTAGTTGTCGACGTACTGTAGTGACCATGACTGCAGGTACAGGCGGTAGGTGGTGCCAAAGAGAATGATCTGTATGCGACTGCCCTGCAGGCCGATCGCCACCTTGAGCGACAGTATCATCTGCACAAGAAACTGCTTCAGATAGAACAGGCGCTGTGTTGTCTGGGTGGCATAGGAATCCACCATGATCACCATGTCAACCGGGGCAGCATCTAAACAGTTGGGAATGAGAACACGGAACACACATGCCGGTACCTATCAGTTATCCAGTTATTATTGGAACACGCACGCACACACACACACACACACACACACACACACACACGCACACACGCACACACGCACACAAACACACAAACATATCAGTTGTCCAAATATTATGTGAAAGTCAATGGAGTACCCAAAGGTCATGTTAGTCATCGCGGATATGAATGATTGATGCCGAACGGCTGATACCATACATGCACGTGTTCAGGCAGTTGCAAGATTAAGGTTTAGTGCAATACTCATAGACTGCGATAAAAAAAACACCTGTACGTGAGTGGCAAACTCTCATACATACGCTTAACGAAGAAGCGTAGTATATTACCCCAAAAGCTTGCATCGTGTCAATGCATGAAACTCCATGCCACATCCATGTAGTTGTAAAACCTAACGAAATCTCTTCATAAAGCTCTGCAGAGACACATTCTTTTATCTCGCAGGGTTTCCATAGGTTATGATGATGAGAGCACATGCGTTTCTTACCCAATGCCAAGCCGCACAGTACTTGTGAGCATGGCTGAGTCTCGGTGCTCTCTCCAGTGCAGGGGACGCCGCCACTGCATGTACGCGATCTCCATTGTATGCCGCCGCCACAGGTAGCTGAACACGTTGACCAGCTGGTCCACTCCTGCCAGCCAATGACTGGAGATAAGCAACAGGGGGGGGGGGGGGGGGGTAACATAGAAGTACATGATTATTGTAGACAGCAAACTCATTATGCATTGACATCCAGTATTATCTGTCTATTCACCTAGAATTATAGAATTATAGCTGACACTATTTGCGTGTGATGCAGGTATAATTATGTCAACATGGTATGTTGCCTGGTTGTTGCACAGGTGCAAGATAAACCCACCGAGGAGTTCTTGTGCTCCCTAACACACATGGTGAAAATCGAGTGGAAATCACAGCATGCAATACCCGTTCCGGCTGCGCCGCTGCTATCAATGGTGAGTGAGTGAGTGGTGTTCTCTTGTGCATCTGCTTACCTCTGTGGAATGTGGACTGCATCTGCACAGTCAGCTGGCTAACTTCACTGTAGCTGCTACTGATATGGGCATGGGTAGATAGCGGCTCACTGGCCAGTGTGAGCAGTGAGCTTTGTGCCGTTGCCGTGCCAATCACAGACGTGATCACCTCTACACCAGAATACTTGAGCTCAGTGGCCTGCATGGTGGCCGCACTGCTCACTGTTTGAGACTCGCCTCTCGCCAGCATGACCAGCACTTGATGTGCGGACACCTGCCACTGTTGTGCTGCTGTCTGCTGGTACGCAAAGTCCAGTGCAGCCTGTGACATGGCTACCTCCACGCTATTACTGCCGAGGGTTACGTAGGACATTTGATCGATGGCGGGTAGGCACGATGCTAGCGTGTAGCACTGCGTGAAGTTGAGCAAGTACACTATACCAGCACTACCATAGCCACGTATGGCAAACTGACTGCCATTCACGCCCAGGCTTGGCTGCAGTGTGCTCAAGAACTGACGAGCGAAGACCTTGACCTCGGCAAACTCCGCTGCCGTCATGCTGCTGGCCAGGTCCACCATCAGTAGGACTTGACTGGCCTGAGAGACCGGCTCTGCCATGACCAAAGCAATTATATACACCAAATAGATAACATTGCTTATTTGGTTGATGCTACTCTGCATGCCAACCATGTGTCTATCATTGCTCAAAGCCACACAGAACATACGCGTAAATACTTCTACAGTCCATTTCAAAACTATAGACGCGTAGGGTTTTTGAAATATTTCAAATTTGGCTAGAACTTTTTGAGAATAGTTTTCGGAATATTGCTCAGGTCCGCTCCACAATTACTCTCATAAAGTTTCTAAACGATTGGATAACAGACGCCCAATTTGGAAAAAATTATGCATAACGTGATCACAGATTTTATGTGGTATAGATGCTGGCATAACGGTTTTTGCCTAGGTACGCGTCTATAGTTTTGAAATGGACTGTAAGTTCTGCCACCATTACTGCAGTCAATTTCAGATGTCTATCAGAAATGCTTTGGCAGGTTCTTCATCATAGAAAAAGTTCTCATACTCCAGGTCTCTTTGTTGCAGCTAGTTTGTATGTGTGTGTGTGCTTATAACTAGTGTTGAAACGATCTCACCGGGTACTCGTAGCTCGCTCGCCAGAAACTCGGCTCGTTTGTGCGGCCAGCTCGTTTGCACTAACGAACACCGTACTCCGTACACATGGCAGTACATGTCGACCGGGGAGTCGTAAAATATGTTACGAGTCCCTGGTCGATCGAGAGTCCAGTCCGGAGCATAGTGAAAATCACTCGCAGTTACAGTGACTGTATGCCTGCACGACACTTGAGTTGTTTCAGTTGTCGTTGCAGCTTTGGTGGACTCTACTGATGTCTTGTTCCGCATCTGCTGACTTGTCGCAGGATATGCTTCGGTCACCTCTCCATTCGAGTGAAAGTACGCTCAGTCGTTTGGAAGTTTTCTCCCGCGATGCAGCGAAGACCAGGGCTCCTTGCAATCTTTGAAAAATTGTCTATTCTTACAAAGGCTACTCAACGACGGCGCTGAAAAGACATCTCGACACCAAACAGCAGTCCGAAGTGAAGCAGCAGCAACCCCAAATGCCGGCGGTGATAATTTGCGGTGATAATTTGAACCAGCTAAAAAAATCGAACTTAGAAAAAATATATTCAAAAAATCATATTTGCCACATCAATGAAACTCGTTAGCTTGCTCGATAGCTTGCTCGCTAGTGGAACTGATCGCTCGTTTGTTATAGATACGCTCGTTTCAACACTACTTATAACGACATGGCCCGACACAAGTGCATTGCCCAGCGGAAGTTGCCTGTGTCACAACAGAAGGGTGCCAGGCAATGTATGAAGTGCATGCGGTGGTTGAGGAGCGCTGGAGGACTGGCTGTGCATCGCTGTCCTGTGTCCACGGATGTCCCCACTGTATCTATTCGCCATGAATCTGACTCTTTTCGATGTGATGTTTGTCGCCGCTCTTTCCGCTCCCGTTCTGGATTGAGCCGTCATCACTGTGACCGTGCGAAACGGATGTCACGTGCAGCCAGGAACAACTGCCGTCATGAATGCGAGCATTGCGAAAGACGGTTCTCAAGGCCACAGGACTTGCAACGCCATGCCAAATATTGTTGACTTTGCGATTTCTCTCTCTTCTCTTTTCTCTTCTTGTCGTTATCTCCCGCTTCTGAGAGCGGCGTGGCCCGATAGGGTAGCTGTACATAGTAGTAGTACTAGTGTGCTTATGTGTGTATCTCTGTGTATGTGTTTGTATGTAGGTGCGCATGTGTGTGTGTGTGTGTGTGTGTGTGTGTGTGTGTGTGTGTGTGGGCGTGTGTGTGCGTACGTACGTGTGTCTGTGTAAGCAGAAAGGTGATGTGGTGCTCCATGATCCACTCACCTGGTTCACAGGTCTGGTTATTGCAGACTCCAATCGCTCTGTTCAGTCCCTGGCAGCCACCGGCGCTGTTCGATATACACGTACGCTCACGCCACTGCTGGCCTCCACCACAGCTGGCCGTGCAAGACGACCACACACTCCAGAAGCCCCAGCCACGCTCTAATTGAGGGTGGGAGAAAGGTAAATGGACATGTATCACTGTTACAGCCGTAAACCACACCCTGCACCCCCCCCCCCCTCCCCCCCCCCCACACGCACGCACGCGCGCACACACACACACACACACACTCACACACACACACACACACACACACACACACACAAACACCCTACTCTACACATGTACTGTAATCTTTGGTTGCATGTTTGAGTTGAAGCGAGACAGTGGAAACGCTAAGTCCACAGCTTGCCTTATGCCAAATGACTTGGGTGAGAACTGAGAAGGGATAGCAGCCGTAGCAGGTAACGTGACAGTGATACACAACAAAATGCTGTTGATTTATCTAAAGCCCAAAGTACTAGCCTCTGCGACAATGAAGGGTAGATGTGGGAATCCAGGCAACACTGTAAGCAAAGCACCAGGAACGCTGCTTGGAATGTAATTGACGTTGCTTACGCGGGGATTATTTTGGGAAACGTTCTTACCGTGTATCATCTGCAGCTGGAACGTAGTGGACGTGGCTGGCAATGCTGAGTAACTAGCAGCTTGGTAGTAATGTGTAGCAGCGGGAGAACTAGCCATGCTTGCCAGTGATAGCTGGGAAGATGTAGCTACGGCTGAGCCAACTGCTAGAGTGTACAGCTCTACCTGAGACGACTTCAAACTGGTGGCAAGCGTCACGCTACTCGAGTCCACGGTGACCCCATCACCTGTGGCAAACAGCATGCACGGATGCGTATCGGCTGTAGGCGTCGTGACAAGCCTGTTCTCTGCCCACTGCAGTGCCACACTGCTATCAGCTGCAGAGCTTGCAGGCGGTGTGTAGGCTATGGATTCAATGGCTGCAAGCAAGCTGGCCAGTGTGGTGTCGCTCAGCTGCGCAGAGTCGAATATCACCTGAGCGACATCACTATAGAGAATGATTGAAACACGCGATCCTCCCGTGCTGGCTGATGGCTGCAGTGACCTGATCATTTGCATGCAGAACCACTTGAACTGCTGGAAGTCGTACGCCGTCATGCTGTGTTGAGACGGAAAGCAGATGACCAGGTCCAACGGCTGTACGTTAGTGTGCACAGCTACGGGAAACACACACAAGCACACGTGCACACGCGTACACAACAGACATAATGTGTTTACAGCGCCAAGCAAATGACTGCCTTGCGCAGTTTCTCCGTACCACCGGTTATTCGGCGTACCCTGTGAGAGTAATGTGCACGTATTGAAGTCGGATAGTTCTGACCTATCGTAGCCTGCATCTACCAATGCTGTGCTGCTGCCGTGCATGTATTCAAGTCCAGTTCTGTTATGTCACTGTATTAACTGTTGTTTTTCATGGCCACAAGGCTTGTTCTTTTGACCCACCATACACGTACCCACAACTTGCATCTCTATAACACACACACACACACACACACACACACACACACACACACACACACACACACACACACACACATCACTGTATCTGCCATCGTTGCATCGAGCACACAAAGTCACTTACCTGGCGCACAAGTGGCTATGGAGCATGTCTGCACCTGGAAATCCTCACCAGTACACTCCCCGTTGGAGTTGCTCGTGCACGTTCGTTGTCTCCAGTACGATCCATTGTTACATGTAGCTGAGCAGTGTGACCAGTCACTCCAGCTACCCCAGCCTGTCTCTGTAATGCACACAACACACAGTACAAACAAGAATGATACTTCAAGCAAGGACAATGTTTCTGGGGATTTATCGACTCCATTGCAGCCATTTACACATTGCTTTTCTCATTCCAAACACTCACACGTAGCCTCTCTGCTGCAAACCTCGCATCAGGTTCACAAAATATTCGGGCATGGCCCATCGTCAGTGTGAAACAGTAAACACTTTTCGAGAAAAGGACAATAACAACAGTGTTATACGTATACATGTTTCTGTTCAGCTTGTCGAGTGAGGGTCGCGTGAACCTAACAAACATGATTGCGATGGTGAGCTTAGACTGGGTCCAGCCTGTGCTCTATTATGAATGACTCACTCCCCACACACGTTGATGTACAGCATTGCAATGTGCAGCACTTTTACCTGATGGTATGGAAGCAGTGATGGTGCTTGCTATCATTTGAGCACCAGGAAGAATTTGCTCTTCCAGTAGGGTGATGCCAAATTGGCTAGTAGGCTGACTGGCAATGGATAGCACAGGGGGCACTACATCGAAAATGTTGTAGGCCTGCACATCCTGCACTTCGACTTCCGTGGCAGTGTTGCCTGCTACAGCCAGGCACTGTATCAAAAAGCCGCTGTCCTGTAAGTGGACTGCTGCCTGTACCGTATTGGCTGTTGTCTGCACGCTGGCCTCGGCTAGCACCACCAAGACAGGTTGTCCGTATTGCTGCACGATCGGTGTAGCCACACTCGGTGTTGTTGCTGCTGCTGCTGCTGCTGGTGTGCCGGTGTTGGTGCTGGTGCCAGTTGCAGTGCCAGTTCCCTGTGGCATTGCCGGGGTTTCTGTTGCAGAGTGGAGTGTCGTTGGTACTGTGCCTGATGTCGTGGCTGTTGTGTAGGCTCCCGATGTACCACTTGCAACACCTGTTCCTGCAGCATTGGTTCCAGAACTTGCAGTAACTGAAGAGTAAGCTCCAGTCACTTCTGCACCCGTCTCTTGTGAGCCTGTGCTAACTTGTGGACTGCCGGTACTTGTACCAGTCTCGGAGGCCAATGAAGATGTGTAAGCTGATGAAGTTGAGGAGATAGCGCCCGAAGATGAACCTGTACCAACAGAACCAGTGCCCGGAGGTGAACTTGTAGCCGCAGAACCAGTGCTTAAAGATGAACCTGTACCAGCAGAACCAGCGCCAGTATAGGCCTGAGTACTAGAGCTGTCCAGTGTAGTTGCAGTCCCAGGCATAGTGTAGCTGCTACCCTGCTGGGCACCGGTGCCTGTGCTCGTCCCTGCCGGCCCTGTGTGTGTGTGTGAGGCCGATGCTGGTGAATAGGTAGCAGTGACACTTTCAGCGGAGCTTGATTCAGTGCTGGACGGATATACAGTTGCTGTTATAGGAGATGTTTGCGCGCCAGTCACCTCATCTGTGAACGCAGACATGGACGTTCCTCCGATTGCCGAAACAAATGTACCAGTTCCACTTGCAGTTGCACTATTTGCATTGCTAGTTGATGCACTGGAGCCAGTGGATCCAGCACCGGCAGTGCCAGAGTTTGCAATCATACTTGATGCTGTGGCAGAGTCAGTGCCTGGAGTAGCTTGGCTAACAGTGTCAGGTGGAGATGTTGCACTACCTGTGCCTGGTGCTCCACCAGTAATGGATGAACTCCCTGGTGTTGGAGTTCCTGTGTTCCTGGATATACCAGTACCCGTGTAATAGTCTGATGTACCTGAGCTTGGCATGCCCTGGGATGCGGCGAAGCTGCTTGTGCTTGTGGATGCATGCACAGGACCACTAGTCAGCGTGGACACAGCAGGGTATGCACTGGCGGTGCTGCTGCTGCCGCCGCCCAAACCCAATGTTGCAGCCAGCTGCAGAACGCTGTCCAGATTCTCAGTGCCCAGGTCTTCATAGGACAGTAGTGAAACGGAACTAAGCACTGAGCTTGTTGTGGGGTACATCATGTCTGCTGTGTCCAGCACGACTTTGGAGATGTTGCCGAACAGGGTGATCACCACACGGCTACCATCCTGCCCACTGACGGGTGGCTGGAGGTTGCGCACTATACCCTGAGCCAGGATGAGCTGCGACGCAAACTTCTCTTCGCTCACAGCCGATCCGGAGTCGAGGGCGATGTTGATGAATGTCGCTATGCTGGTGTTTGCTGCAAGTCAAATGGCATTGGAATCAAACAGGAACAAGTTCTCGTAGATGCAACCTACACGATATTTTTTAACTTTTCCATGCGTAGTAAAATCAACAGGTGGTAATACTACTAGGCTTCTACAACAGATAAACACAGCATCATCATTGAAATCAAATTCAGCATCAGCAGTGGCTGCTGGGCTCAAGTCTGGATCGCCACAGTTCTGATACATCCATAAAACTGAGTGATACTAACGAACTTGTTTACTAGTCCCCGGTGCTAATGAGTGTGGGACAAATAATTTGTAACCCTGGTTAAAAGTTAAAACGTGGGATTTTTGCTGCTGGAGGCGATCAGAGCTCCACCTGTACTGCTGTCCTGTACATGTACAGTGTACAGTGTACAGTGTACTTACACTTGCATGCTGCTAGGGTACAATTGGCTGTCTCCAGCGTTGCACCGGTACACACACCCGTGGTGTTGTCCACGCATGTCCTGTCTCTCCAGTACACGCCCTGGTCACACGATGCCGAGCACGTCGACCAGGCACTCCACAGTGACCAGCCTAGTGCCATGATACACACACACACACACACACACACACACACACACACACACACACACGCACACATGTGCACGCACATGCACACACAGTTGTACAAGGACGTACACGGATGACCACATGGTACGATTTGCAGCTTCACAAGGCAAGTGTAGTGGACGGAAGATGACCATGATCGAGAAGGAACAAGGTTCCATGACCGGCTTTTGGTTTTACAGGTCACAGCGTAATCTGACTATGCTGCAACCTGTAGTCGATAGAATGCCGATGACCGGGCATAGGTGCAGCTAACAGCTAATGGGATTTTCTACGGAACAGGTTGAGTACAATTATACACACCGTGGTTTTATCGGCGGGGGAAATTATTCCACTCGGATGTAAATGAATGGTTGTACGCAGGGATCGGAATGCATCACCTTGCTTTCTACATGATACATGAGTGCTTACCTCCAGCCAGTTCAGCTTCCTGCAGGCTGGCCAACTGCATTAGACAGCCAGCATTCTCGCCGCACAGGTGTGCATACACAGACTGTGGCGATGACGCCACCTGCTTCAACTCCTCCAGCTGCTGAACAACGTTGGACGTGCACACCGTGTATACAACAGTACCGTTGTGTTTGAGATCCGCAGCCAGTGCTAGACCAGCTTCGTTGATCTCACCACCGCCACCACCGTTGAACACAACCAGGACAGGTTTGGTTGATGTGTGATTCACAGAGACGCCTGACACAGATGCAGAACTGTTGAAGCTGTGGATCTCAGTGAAGTAAGCAGCGGAATATTCCAGCGCTGCTTGAGCCGATACAGCCGTACTGCTAACAGCTGATGAGATCTGAATGTTGTTGATTGCGTTGATGATTATCTCATTGGTGATGTAGGCCATACTACGTGTATCAATCAGCACCTGCACGCCAAGCTGATTCTGGAGAACAATTCTGCAGCTGCTGCCATACACGCCCATGGCTGGCTCAGTGTTCAATATTATTCTCTGCAAATAGGCACTGACTTGGCTCCATGTTGTCGCCGCCGTCACTGTATAATCCAGTACTATGAGAAGGTCTTTGCGGACAGTTGAAGTACCTATGCAGCGCACAGACAAGCATTACATTACATCATCGTTGAATCACTAATACAGCACAACTCTTCTTAGCCTTGTGAGTAATGCCGCCGAGTGTTCTGTGCGCCGCCAACTCCACCTCTTCACTCACAGTCTTCCTACACCATCTTGAAGGCAGAATAGTCTCAGTCTGCTGCATTTATGATTGCATGAAAGCTTCCCACAATAGACACATGCTACAGGACCATATCAAAGCTGCACGAACCCCACAGCCACATCTTTACTATCATACCATCACACACAGACACTAGCAAGCAAATACAACCTCTACACTATACATGTACTTACTAACAACAACAGGACACTGGGCAACACTGCATGTGTTGAACTCCAGTGCTGCACCAGAGCATCCAAGCAGTGGCTGGCTGCAAGTGCGTTGTCTTTGCTGTGTTCCACCTCCGCATGTTGTTGTGCATTGCGACCACACTGACCAGTCTGACCAACCCCGCTCATCTAGTACACCAAACAGAACATCGCAGCAAGTTAGATGGGAGAGTGTGTACGTGTGTGTTGACGTGGATGCATTATTTGATAACCTATCTTGCCCTTCGTATCTGGCAGGGAAGAACAAAAATCGCTCAGTTCAGACTTCGTAACACACAGAATGTCTCCCAGTGCCAAACTCTAATGTCAGTGTGCTTGCTCTTTCTGCACAAAGCATCCTTGAAAGTCCATTTCAAGAACACAACAGTCATAATGTCATACCCTACTGTGACGGAAACCGCCCATACATATACGGATCTATAAAAACACTGGATCCCAAAGTCGGCTGTGTCAGGACTCTGCCCTGGCTTTGACAGTGCACGTTCAAGCCTTCTTGTGAGTGCATTTTTAAAGGTATTCATATGCAGACCACCCCTCAACCCCTCATCAAGCCCTTTGGACTAGTCACAGCAAAATGTCCTGACCTTCAACAACGTTGGTTTGCAGGGTAATAGCAGATACTGCACTGGCAAGGTTTCCCGTTGTGACCAGATGACTCTCGGCTGGGGAGCTCACGAGACTCAGAATGACCTCGCTGGTTTGAACTATAGCCGTGCTAGTTGTGGTGGTACTTGTGATGGTTGTTGTGACAGGTGCTGATACGAGTGAAACAGCAGAGATATCAATGTTAGCCTCTTGCAGCTGTTCAGCAATGCCAGTATCCACTGTGGAGATTTCAGCTGTGATTCCCAGGAACACAACTGATGTTGATACGGGCAGCGCAGTAACGGTCACAGCCGGTGTGCTCTGCTCTGCAGTCACTGCTGGAGTGGTTATTGCAACACTGCCTGTTCCTTCTGCCGAAGACTGGCCTACACTGGACGATACGGGTGTTACCCCCGTACCCGTTGAACTGCCAGTACTAGCAGGAGGGCCCGGTGTCATTGAGGATGTTTGTACAGAACTGGATGATGATGTTGATGTTGATGGTGCTTCACTTGTCCCAGTCCCAGTCTCAGTCCCAGTCCCAGTTGATGCTGTATCTGCTGGCAGTGAACTAGATGATGCCTGTGCTGTCCACGACGTTGCTATCAACGTAGACGAGATCGGTGAAGCCAATGATGATGCAGATACTGGAGAACTGCCTGGCAGAGAAGATGTGGAGGCTACGGTAGTATCCGTGGCGGATGAAGGTACTGATGAACTGGAATACGGACTAGAGACCGCTGGCGTTGAGGTGATGGACTGTGATGAGGAGGTTGGCTCTGGGCTTGATACTGCCTGTGATGAGGAGGTTGGCTCTGGGCTCGATACTGCCTGTGACACTGTAGACGATGAGGTTGTAGCCTGCAATGGTGATGAAGATGATGAAATAGTAGAAGAGTGAGTCGATGCTGACTGCGAGTGGGACACTGTTGATAATGGCACGGGTGCAGTTGACGAGAAAGCTGCCGCTGATACCGACGATGATGTGTGCACAGCTGTAGATGAGTGTAAGCTAGATGACGCTGTTCCGGTGGAAAGTGAAGGTTCAGGTGGAGCCTGTGAAGCTGCCGATGACGACGATGTTGTGTCTGGCTGGGCCGTACTCGCTGCAGGGCTGCTGGCGGTGGCTGCAGCAGGAGTTGGAGAGTTCATATTGGCTGCAGCGGCAGCAGATGTGGCCGTGTCATGCACAATGGACTGGATGAAAGCTAGTGCCGCAGTTATATTCCCAGAGCTGCTGGAGGTCACTGACGTAGTAGAGTTGTATGTGCCCGTCACATTACTGTGTACTGCACCTAGAGATTGCTCCAAATGTGCTAGCATTGCTGGCAAGCTGGTCAGTGATGCAGCTTGGGTGAATTGCGACGAGTTGAGCAGAATGTTTGCTTCTGCAGCGTACCCGACAACTATGACTTCGGCCGTCGATGCTGTCACGCTTACTAGGTTAATGGCAGCCTGCTGTTCTTGCTGACATTGCCCGCCTTGCTGGCAGGTCACATCTAACACTGTTATCACTTGCGTTTGCACAGCTGCATACACGCAATCAGATGGTTAACACACATGCGTGTCACACGCACAAACACATACACACGCACATGCACACACATGCACACACACACACACACACACACACATGCGCACGCGCACACACACGCGCACACACGCACACACACACACACACACACACACACACACACACACACACACACGCACACAAGCACGAACACAAGCACGAACACAAACAGACCCACAGGTCACAATCCAATCTCTGAGTACAGTATACATCATACGCCCAATAATTATAATGGCATGCACCCATCCGGTTTCCGGTTTCTTTCTCAAATGACCAATACAGCAATCAACTGCCTTCCTCTGTCTGGGGATACATTGCTACGAACAAAGGATCCGAAGTTAAGACATGGCGTTCCCAGTGCTATACATAAGAGGCCATTGACTGCAGCTGTGCTGCTGCTGCTACTTACGTTGGACGCAAGTGCCTGTGCCGCACGAGCGTGTTTCAGAGCTGCTACCGGTGCACGGTGCAGCTGTGTGCTGCTTGCATGTGCGGACGCGCATCTGGTGTCCACCGCCGCAGGTGGCAGAGCATGTCAACCAGCCGCTCCACGGGTTCCAGTCTGCACAAAACACAACCAGCCACACACTTCACTGCTGGCATAGCTATCTTCACATGCCTTTCCTCCTCATGTGCGCGTATGAAGTAGAACGGAGCGTCTTCAGCACACTCTACAGAACATTGCCAGTACAGGCCTGTTCGACACCCTACGCACATTAGCCCTTAACTACATTCTGCCAACTGGCAGCAATCACCATGATCCTAAGCTAGTAGCTCATCTTGTGTGTTGTCCATATCACTAGATACTAGTAGAGGCATGTACATTCACAGGCCTGTCCTTACCAGATGTGTAAACACCGAGTATGACTTGTGAAGTGCTGGACAGTTGCGACACATTCTGCACCACGTACACATGGCTACTGGCCTGTTGCTGCTGCAGCTGGTGCTGCGTCAATGTGAGAACTTCTTGACTGGCGGTCAGTGCTGCTTGCGTGGTGACAACGAACAGTTCACTGGTGTTCTGTATGGACTGGGCAAGTGTCTGGTCCACTGAGCTGACATTGATGACACTGTGCGCTAGAAGAAGACAGGATGGGGCGTGCGAGAGAGTGCTGCTGCTGTTGCTGCTGGACGTACCATAGCTGACATCACCAGGTGTTACACCTGTACTGGTTACTGTTGCAGCAGCGAATGTGTTTAGTTGTGTTTGCACACTCGAGAGCACAGATGATATGCTGACAGAGCCACTGCTGCCTGTGCTGCTGTGTGTTTCACTCAGCGCTTCCAACCACGTGACATTGGTCAGATTGGAAATGGCCGCAGAGAACGTCTCCACGGTCATTGCTTGGCCTGTATAGTTTGTTGTGTCGATGGCTGTCAGTGTGCGAGTAGAGGTGAAGACATTCACGATGACATTCTCCACTAGGCTGTGCGCAGGCAACGAGTCGATATGTAGGTATTCCGTAACTAATGCAGTGGACTGCTGCAAGAACTCAATTTCTAGAGATGATGCTGCCACTGCTGTGTGTGTAGCCGGTGCTTCTATGCTGAATATAGCGTACCCAACCGACGCATTCTGACCGGAGACATCCACACCTGCATGGCACATTGTGCAGCAAAGACAAGACACCAAGCTGTATTGCCAAACACTAATTTTGGCTGCATTCTTTGCTCTTTCACGCGTTCTCGAACGCACACGTACACGCGTGTGCACACACATACACACACACGCGCACATACACAGTCACTGCTAGTGTGACAGCGCTAAGAATTAAGTGTTTATGACAGCACGGTGTAAATTACTTACCCGCACTAGTGGTGTTGCACGTGTGATTATTGCAATGCTGCACTTCACTGGAGGAGCCGTCACAGCCAAGCAATGAGTGCAAACAGGTGCGCTGACGCCATTGCAAGCCCTGGTTGCAAGGCTTGGAGCACTCCGACCACTTTGTCCAGTGACTCCAGCCAGTAGCTGCAACACAGAGCAGAGATACAATGCAAGCCAGCAAAAGTAGCCAGTCAGTCAAGCACACACACACGGTGTTATCGATCTCTGAATGCAATGGACAGTGACACGCCAACACAAAGCCAGAGTAGTGTCCACCGTGACCGGCAAAGTAAAGTGTTGGGGATGAAGAGAGGAAGAGAGAAAGAGAGAGAGAGATAAAGAGAGAGAGAGAGAGGGTGTATCTGTGCGAGAGAGAATAGAACTTTGTCGTTATCGTAATTCTTACCAGGGTAGAGTTGTGATTGCATACCGACAGCCACCGTCACCAGCTCCTGTTCTTCCTGTGTAAAGTTCGTGGTTGAACTGATCACATACACATTACTCTCACCCAGGTGATTTGCAAGCAATGCGGCCGCTGATGTTTCAATTGTTGATGCGTTGCTAACAGCACTAAAATAACTAGTGGTCACAGACACGCCTGAGTGACTAGTGAGAGATTGGGCTAATTCAGCAGAATGGCTCTCTATCTGGGTTGTGGAGGATGCCAACACAATGAGATTGGCCTGTTCTAGCGCCTGGCTAGAGTCCTGCACGGTATGCACTGACGATGTGACTGATGTGTGGTTGGTGACAAACTCCTGCACCTGAGTAGCACCCAACACCAGCTCAAGGCTGCCAGATCCCAGGCTCGGGTAGCTACACGTAGACACAGTAGTGAGCAGAGAGTTGAGCTGGCCGTACGACGTCACCTGTGTGTTATCAATCAATGTCTGCGTTGTGTTGCCATACATAACCACGCTGACTGATGTCTTGTTCTCGCCGACGGTCATGGTGGAGATGATGTTTGCCGCTAGAGCCTTCTCTGCCTCGAATGTCTGAGCATTGCCCGCGTCGAGAAGGATCATGACGCCAACAGCTGCGTCCGTCCCTGGTGTTGCAGAGCAAGAACAGTGAAGAGAGCATGAATGCATGAATGCACATACGCACACACGCACCCCCCCCCCCCACACACACACGCAATGCTATCTAACTACTGTAACACACTCAGCATCAACATGATCAGTGGATGAATACAACATGATCAGTGGATGAATACAACATGATCAGTGGATGAATACAACATGATCAGTGGATGAATACAACATGATCAGTGGATGAATACAACATGATCAGTGGATGAATACAACATGATCAGTGGATGAATACAACATGATCAGTGGATGAATACAACATGATCAGTGGATGAATACAACATGATCAGTGGATGAATACAACATGATCAGTGGATGAATACAACATGATCAGTGGATGAATACAACATGATCAGTGGATGAATACAACATGATCAGTGGATGAATACAACATGATCAGTGGATGAATACAACATGATCAGTGGATGAATACAACATGATCAGTGGATGAATACAACATGATCAGTGGATGAATACAACATGATCAGTGGATGAATACAACATGATCAGTGGATGAATACAACGTGATCAGTGGACGAATACAACGTGATCAGTGGACGAATACAACGTGATCAGTGGACGAATACAACGTGATCAGTGGACGAATACAACATGATCAGTGGATGAATACAACATGATCAGTGGATGAATACAACATGATCAGTGGATGAATACAACATGATCAGTGGATGAATACAACATGATCAGTGGATGAATACAACATGATCAGTGGATGAATACAACATGATCAGTGGATGAATACAACATGATCAGTGGATGAATACAACATGATCAGTGGATGAATACAACATGATCAGTGGATGAATACAACATGATCAGTGGATGAATACAACATGATCAGTGGATGAATACAACATGATCAGTGGATGAATACAACATGATCAGTGGATGAATACAACATGATCAGTGGATGAATACAACATGATCAGTGGATGAATACAACATGATCAGTGGATGAATACAACATGATCAGTGGATGAATACAACATGATCAGTGGATGAATACAACATGATCAGTGGATGAATACAACATGATCAGTGGATGAATACAACATGATCAGTGGATGGATACAACATGATCAGTGGATGAATACAACATGATCAGTGGATGAATACAACATGATCAGTGGATGGATACAACATGATCAGTGGATGGATACTGCCTTGCTACTAATGTACTAGTACACCTGATACTAGGAACTCTGTTGCATTTTAGCAAATGTCTCAATGGATAACATTAAATATTGACATACCGGTTAACTGACAGGCAGTGGCACCACAGGACCGGCTCTCTCGCTGCGTTTCACTCGCACACATGCCCGTGCTGTTGCTAGCGCAGTATCTGCGTCTCCACTGTACACCAGCCGCCGCACCACTACCACCACTGCTGCTGCTGCTGCTCTGACAGGATTGTGAGCATGGTGTCCACTCCTGCCAAGGTAGATAACCTGAAAGAGAGTCACACAATCAACAACAAGAGTACTCGTGCGTTACAGCCATGCATCACGGCCTGGCCTGCCTTGTCCACACACTGGCCTGTATGCGTAGAAGGCAACGTTTGCCGGGATAATATTACTAGCGTGACGATGGTTGCAATGAACTCTGTAGCTATTTGAAACATGATACCACTGGTCTAGCTCTTCGCATTTCACATGGAAAGAAAAGTGGAGGATACATCGTCAGTGTGCATGCAAGCTACATGTATCTCTGTGCTGTCAATTTGCACGCAAGCATCTCCGCCAATGAGTAGGGCGTAAGGAATGGCTCACCTGGTGTAATGGCTTCCTGTATTATTGTGGCAGCCTGCACTAGGCTGCTTGCTCCACTGCTGATGTAGCTGTAAGAAGTAGCTGGTTGACTGCATATCGTTGCCAGTGTGGCTGGTGGTGTTGACATGTTGCTACTGATAGCAAACATGTTAGCACTGTACTGCTGCTGTATGGTGGCAGCGCTTGTGATGACTGCCTCTTCTACTGTGCTCACACTGCTGGAGATCATGGTGAAGACATCCAGCTGGCTTGCGGCAAGCGAAACAGCGCTGGCATTCACGGATGCGGACTCGTTTGCCCTAATCTCAGCTGATGTGACGCTGTACTCAGCCACCAGCTGCTCGGCTGCTGTAATGGCCAGGGTGAGGTTTAGTGGGCCCAGATTAAGAGGCTGCAGCTGGTTCAATTGCATGAGGAATTCTTGTGTTGTCTGGACTGCAATACCGGTGGTGTTGAACGAATGCTCCGCAACATTACTGCTTTGGTGCGATGCATTGGAGATGTTAACGGTCGTAATGGCGTTGACCACTGAGCTTCCGCACAGCACCACCGACATCTGACTGCCGCTTTCAACCAGCACTGGCTGTCGACTGACTACGTCCTGGATGAGATTGACGGTTTCCGTGAACGTCTCCACAGTTGTACTGGCACTTGACTCGATCAAGAACACCATACTGGACTGATAGGTAGTCTGTCCTAGGCCTGCATGGTACACACAAGAACAATGCAAGAATGACCAATGGTTCACACACTAGTAACAAGTGCATCCGTGGGTGATTGCAAGGTCAATCGTACAGTGCCAAACATCGATATCCAATGCAACACCGTTTCCTATCTGTGTCTATACGATCACCGAACATGGTCATCTAGTCGTTGAACACCGTGTCACTATCTGACTAGGAACTGGGCCAAGACAAAATCTAAGGACGATGTTGGGGTTCAACAAGTGCATTGAGAACATGAACACGGCTATGATGTACTGCGACAGTGATTCTAGAGGTATACGTCATGAGAAACCGTTCAGCCTGTGCATGAGTAAATTAGCACATGCTCAATTTTCTGAGGGATGTAATTGCTTGCGAAAAGATCGATGCAAGCCGTAAAATGTAATGATACATTGTACATGTTCTGCATCCTAACTCATGCTTTGAAGGGTGGTGCAAGGCTTTGAAGTACAGCACAGCACCGCTGCATGTCGCTACGGCTGAACATAGAAGCAATCCAGTTTTCCACACCCATCGCAGCTACTGCGTCTCACCTGCCGTCCCATCATCCTGGCATACATTCACCACTGTGCATGATCTAGTTTGGCTGGAGTTTCCAGCACACTGCTCTGGCGCATTCAGCTGACACTGGCGGGCTCTCCATTGTTGGCCAGTTCCACAGTTGACTGAGCATCGTGACCAGCTACTCCAGGCTGACCATGTCGTATGATCTTCATCATAGCAAAGAAAAAAATCAGAAAATCAGAAAGAGAAGATGCAAAGGAAGGGACGCTTGGGTGATAGTATCTGTACAGTCAAAACTCGTTTGCTTGACATTGCTCGAACCGGTGACATGTATGACATGCCGTCATCGTGCCCAGCACTGAGCTGTTAGGGGAGATACTGTAGTTGATAGTGATCACTTGGACATTCCCGGGAATATTCATGTCAACAATAGCCTGGTTCATGACAGCATGCTCATGAGTCTGTGATATGTAGCTAAGTGTTACAGTATTGCATTATTCCGCTCCCCAGTGTCATACTCACCAATAGTCACCTGTGCCTGAATCAGCGAAGGAACACTCAACAGCTCTGTGTACTGGGAGCACACAAACAAGTTGGCCTCCGACGGCGAACTGGCAATTGTCTGCAGGCTCTCCGTCACTGATCCCACCTCCACTCCGCTTGAGATCAGAACTGGGAGAAGAGTGTTGTGGTTGGCTTTGAGTTCGTTCGCTTTAGTGACAGCCTCGTTTGTTATCTCCAGTACGGCAGAGGGTCCAGTCAGCATTACCATGGATGACGGTACAGACGAGCTATTTCTTGAGATAGTGATGTTGCTGCTCGAACTGGTGTAGTTCAGTGCGAACGAGAACACCTCCGTCATGTTTGTCACTCCCAGGTCACGGTAGGACAGATTGCGCTGAACCTGTTCGACCAGAGCTGGAAGTGTTGCCTGCGTCATGCCACGGCTGTCGACCACCACGTTGACGGCGCTGCCGTACATGGCCACCACCACATTGCACTCGGCCACTGACTGCACTGTCGTCAGAGAAGCAGCCAACGAGTCCGTCACAAACTGCTGTACAACTTGTGCCTGGCTCGTCTCCATAAGCGTTGATGCCTCCACCATCATCACCAGATCCAAACTACCCGTGCCTGCACATCAGCATAATAACAAGGCATATTAAATGAAATTTGAACTTTTCAAATATCTGACCTGACTAGCAGAATGGCTTTCACTACATACAGTGCACCTAGATCAGAGTATTTATACAAAATAGAGCAATAGCACACTCAGCAGAGGAGGACGTTCAGGTTCGGTGTAACTCAGAGTTTGGTGCCACAAGGCAACCATCACACAACTGAAACTCTCTGCAACTCGGGGATCAACGGATTAATGAAACAAAGCTACAAGATTAAACAGTCATGTGTTCAGCCAGAAGGACATGGGCAAACCGGAGAACGAGTTGCAACAAGAGAGCTACGTACTAGCACCATAATTATGAATGTAGGCACTTCTGATGTGCGTAATTGTGGCGTACATGGTATAAGAGAGATTTCGCAAATCTTATCATGTCATGTCTGATGTGTGTGTCACCGGTACTGGACATAGGGTAATGGCAACATAAACATAACGATAGACAGTCGAGTACTCACCATATCCACCACTAGCAGCACTGCTTTGGGAACAGTGCGACTGTCCCGTCCTGTTGCATGCCTCCACCTGCAATGCTTTACCGACGCACAGGCCCGTGGCGTTGGACGAGCACTTTCGCACTCGCCACCTGCTGCCATAGCAGGCTGATGAGCACACCGACCACTCTTCCCAGTCTGTCCAGCCGTACACTGTAAGCATTCCAAAGAACACACCCGAAGGTCTACCCACAGGGTACTATCGTAGTCTAGTTTGTCAAAGAGATGTACCACTCATCTCGGTGATGTACGTGTAATCTTGCTTCTGATCAGTGACCCAATCAACAGGACAGGTAACCTGTACATGAGCCTATGTGCGTGCACACACCAATGCACCAGCCAATGCACCTAATCATGCACCTATACAACAGCCAATGCAACTATGCATACAGCAGATTAGAGTGCTTGTGCTGATAATTATGAAGTTATTCTGAACACCTGATAGAGCGCTCCTGGTTCACACTCACCGCTCTCCAGTTGGGCAGAGACCGACTTCACAACAGTGTCCAACTCTCCTGTTCCCTGGCAGGAGAACGCATGGCTGGCTGTTGGGTAGCTAGCGATCTGCTTCAGACTTGCAGCCTGTGTGGAGTCCACATCAACAGCCACTGTCACTATTCCAACACCGGTCATTTTCAATGCTTCAGCAATCGCCACAGCACCAGTTGTGATTGCTGTGGTGCCGGATACCGCCAGGACAGCACTTGTTTGCATCGTTGTTGCCAAGGCAACCTCCACGCTCCCTCTGGCCACAGTGTACGAACTGTTCTGCATGATTATTTCGTTGATGTACCCAAGGCATGGCTCTAGGCTGGCCGACGTTTCGGTCTGGCCAATAGCGGAAAGTTGAATTTCTGACAGCGCCTGCAAGGATAGTGGTACGTTAGCAATGTCCAGTGCGGAGGAGTTGAACAGCACGGTGATATTCTCCGTGTTGGCAGCCAGGACAATCATCTCACTTCCATTAGCACCGACTGGCGGGTCCTGATTGATGACCAGCTGCTTGACAAAGGCCAGCGTGTTGGCAAAGTCCCCGGTGTCGTTGTGCACGTCCACAGCCACTACCACCCGAGCTGGTATGTACACGGGTGGAGGTGGTGGGTCTGAACAAGAAGACACAGTAGAAACAATCAACGTTCCTGTCACACAAACTGCACACCAGGTTTAGGGAAGACTACTTTTCAGAAGAAAAAAAACCCCTGGGCAATATGACCTTCATTGGGAAGAAATAATGATGTAGTTGTAAATATATCAGATGCAATATCAACTACTGGTCTCTCCAGTACACTGCACCCGCATGCATATTACAAAATACTGGCCTCTCCAGTGCACTGCACCCACATGCATATCATAATATTATAATGCTGGCCCCTGCAGTACAGTGCACACCACATGCATATACATGTGCCCACTGAAGTCTCACTGTCAAAAACTTACCTGGTACGCATGCTACCAGACTACAGGTCTCTATCTCCAGTGCATCGCCGCTGCATCGGTCTGGCTCATTGCCGTAGCAGAGTCTCTTGTGCCAACGTGTACCATTTCCACACGTCGTGGAGCACACTGTCCACGCTCCCCACTCTCCCCAGCCGATTTCTGCAAAGCACACATAGGGAACATCAGTATGAATATGCCCTGTGTGTGTGTGGGGGGGGGGGGGGGGGTGCGGGATGCGTGGATGTGTGCGTGCGTCTGTGCGTGTGTGTGCATGTGTGATAGCAGCACATCACCTGCGCTAAGAGGGTCACATGCACACACGCATGTAAACATACATATATGTACATGCATGTGCACTTACTTGCTGAGATGTTCAGTGATGCTGCTACAACCTTTAGCTCAGTGAACGAGTGGAGTACCTTTCCATTGTCCGTGACCGGTTGACTTGCAATGGCAAGCACTGCCGGAGCTGTCTGACCCTCACCAAATGTCAGAAGGTTAGCAGGTTGAACAGCACCACAGGCGATGCTAGTGATGTGAAATCCGCTCTGCTGTACCAGCGAGGCTGCTTGTAGAGTGGCAGCAGAGACCTGTGTGTCTGTACCAGCCAGTGTGATCAGCACAGGCTGTTCGTATACAGGGTAGACACTGGGGCTGGGAGTAGCAGTGGCCGTTGCCTGACCTGTTGTCCACGCAGAGCCAGTGCTGAATGTGTAGGGTTGCGATGTACTACCCATAGCGCTATTGCTGACTGGGCTAGTGCTAGCAGCTGGCTGGGTGGGTGAGTAGGTAGCTATGGTAGTCCTTGGTGCACCGGTGCTAGTCACTACCGTGCTCGATGACATGTACGGGCTGAAATCGGGTGAAGACGTGTATGCCATGGTGGAGGTGCCTGTACCATTTGCCTCGTTAGTAAATGCCATGTTGGTCGTGTACATGCTGCTGCTGCTGCTGACAGTGGTGAATGCTTCACTGGCCGGTGCTACGGTCACAGGCAGGATGTTGACAGCCTGACTCAGCACACTGCTTAGGTCAGTTCTACCCATGTTTATATGCTCCACCAGGTTGATAGCACTGAGACACGACGCAGTAGTAGCTTGCTCCATATGAGCTGTATCCACCACTAGCTCAGTAGTGCTGCCATACGTCATCACCACCACGCGGCTGCCACTCGTCCCGTCAACAGGAACATTCAAGTTGGTAACAACGTCCTTGGCAAAGCTAATCTGCTCCTGGAATTCTGCTTCGGAGATCTTTGAGCCACAGTCTATGGCCACAGTGACAAACTGGGGCAGTGATGAATTATCTGTGAGAACACACAGCAAAGTGCAGGGACACTTAGGACAACAGACGTCCACTGTTGCTTGTAGCAAAGGGTGCTATAATTTTACTAGCCATCAATAGAACGACTGCTTACTGAAGGAATTATCACATGATAGAAGCTGGCAATGCAAGAGAAACAGTCCAAACACAAACACTGGTGTGCAGATTAACATAGCAACCACAGTTAGCTGTCTACGCATTGTGTGATTTAGGAAGTACCCCCCCCCCCCCCCTCTCCCACCCGCCAACTCATCCTTTCGTACTTGTGCATGTGGAGGTGATGTCCTGTCTGTAGGTCATACCACACATACCTTGTACTTCGAAGTACACATTGCACGCTGTGCAGTCAATCCGTACTCAATGTGCCTTGGAGCTCCACACAAGAGCATGCTCATGCTAAGTGCAACGTTAGTACACTGAGGTTCTCATACTGTACGGACTTAGTTGCACCATCCCACACGATTTCCCTTCCCCGGCTGTAAAATCAAGGCGGGACGCTTTCTAGAGATAGAGACGGGGTTCTCTTGCACTACTTTACAGTATACTGTAAAACCGAGAATTTTTGCTGGTGTAATATTTTCAGTATTTCCCAAAATCAACGGTTCGGTAGCACGAAAATTTCGGTAAACCTGTTTTCCAGATCCAAAATTGCATTTTGCACACTGTGTGGCATGGCATGGTTGAATTTTAGGTAAAAATTACCTGTAGCGAAGTTACCGGAAATAAATCTCCACCGAAACTTTCCCGTTTTACAGTATACCATCGCTATGTCTTTCATTTGTATGTGACTGCTGGGGTGACTCCTTTCCAAGCCAGCAAACTACAATGAAGCATGCAACGCCAAGCGTTCAAGCCAATGCTAAAACAGAAAAGTAAAATGATGCAATGGTGATAATAATTCATCGCTGAATTCTTACAAAATCGTTTTTTGTTTGTTTGTTTTCTGTTTGCTCTTGTAGAGCCAGTAGCATCACAAGCAAAACAAGCCCCGGTAGCATGCCTAGCTTCCCAGCTCCGGTAGCATGCCTAGCTTCACAGCTCTTACCGTAGCACTGTGCTTGACTGCACACTCTGGTCTCTTCTCCCTGCCCCGCACACGCTCCCGTGGAGTTATCCAGGCATTGGCGGTCGCGCCATTCAACACCGGCGCCGCACGTCACTGAACACGGAGACCACTTACTCCACAGAGACCAACCTGCAAGGTGAGTTGGTGGCAATGGCCAAGAAACACGATATTGGATGCAAAGTTGCATTTGCAAACTTGACCATCAAGTTCAGCCGGTAAAGGTTTGAACTTTTACATTTCATCCATACTTAGTATCATAGTGAAATATTAGGGGCACTAGAGACCTGTCACAATCTTAGTTGAGCACAAGTTGGCTATATACATGCATGTTTGAGTGTTCGTAAGAGCTCTACATGCAGCTTTGTGTGTATGAGTGCATGCCTCTTCATTGCTCGGCTGCTTGGGGTGGGGTTCATCTCGTACTCATTTTGTTGTATAGAATGTGAAACGTCTCAAACAATGTCTTTTTTTCTTCCTCTCATGGCAAAGACTTCGCTGATCAAATACGATTGATCTGACTTTGTTAATGATCAATACCAAGTAGCAGTCAAACATTTCATTCAACAAAAAATGCTTCTTCCTTAAGCCACCTCCCTCCCATGAGTGCAAGTCAGTTACTTGAAGGCGAGTGAACTCAACCCAACTTCAACTTCATGTACCTGGAATTAATTCCATTCACTGTGATCAGTGCCAACCATAATCCAGTTCTCTTCCCTCTGGTTTGCGCGACAAAGCAGTTGTTTGCACACATGTAATCGATCACTCGCTGGCCAAGTTGTATTCTAGTCTTCATACACTGTATCATAGACAGTATACCCGTTAGCACCTACCTCCGCTCAACACTGCTTCTTGCAAGACAGCAAACTGTGCTGTGTCAACCTCACCACCGCCACCACATAGGTACGCAAACGACGAGGTTGGAGAAGACGCCAATGCCTTGAATTCTTCTATCTGCTCGGTGGAGCCAGTGCCCATAGTGTAGATGACAGTGTTGTTCTGCTTCAATTCTTGTGCCAGGATCACATCAGTCTCATTGATTTCCTCATTGTCATTGAAAAGCACGAGTACCGACTTGGACTGTGAGTAGTTTGCAACCTGTGTACTTGACAAGCTAAAGCTGGTGTGCTGCACCGAGCTTGCGTGAATTGTCTCCACAGTGGTGAAGTGTTCGCTGGCATACTGCAGTGCGCTCTGCACCGTCCCACTTTGATTGAAGATGGCGGACACCCCCGTCTCCACTGACAAGCTGGAAATCATGCTGATCAGTGTTTGAGTGGTGATGTATGATATCATACTGCTGTCGAGCAGTGTATGAAAGCCGTACAGGTCCTGAATTACAATCTTGCAAGTGCTGCCAGCTTGTCCAATCGGTGGCTGAACTGAGATAACCAAGCGCTGCAGGTAAGTGATGAACTGGTGCCACATTGTAAATACGGTGTAGTCGAGCAGTATCAGAACATGCTTGACAATCGAAGACGGCCCTGCACCAAGAAAACCATAAAAACCAAACACTCCAACTACTGGAAAACATCGTGAACAAGAACAGTAGCGTGCATGTCATTCAAATCCAGAAAAACAAGAGAGACCAGTGTTATTCTTTAATGGCCAAGTGACATCCCTACTCCCTGGTGATACGTAGAAATGGAGATATATCTAACGTTAGATTACCGGTAGTAGAGGGAGAATAGAAGAAACAATTGACCATCACTACCGGCGGGCCTCAAACCGGGGACTTTCCCTATAGGCCAGCGATGCTCTAACCACTGAGCTATGATGCAGTCATCATCCCAGCAGAGATCGTTCAACTGATTTTCATCGGACTCCAAAGCTCACGCTTCCTGTTACACAACACCTTTCCTGGTGGGACGCAGCCCTCACTCTACGCACACACTTCATGCACAAACTAGCACGTGGGGAGCCCCAATCTACCAAGCAGTCATTGGTTGAGACAGTTGAAAAGGGAAAAAGTCTGAAGAAAACATTCGCTGTCACCAAACATCTAGAAGACGTTTAAAAAATATTTTCCTTTGCTTGTGCACTCTTCTTACCTTGGAGCAGCTGGCAGGCAGCCATGTTGCACTCTCCCATTTCCTGGTATTCACCAATACAACCCAGCAGTGGATAATCACAAGTGCGAGATCTGTAGCGACTGCCACCACCACAACTTTGAGAGCAGGTGGACCAGGAGGTCCACTGCTTCCAACCACTCTCTCCTACAACACACAAGAAAACGGAAACATGACTGGTCACCAACAATAAAGCAGGCTCTGTAAAGATTCTCCGTGGTCCAAATAGTAAAATTAACGGATTCACGAAGTATGAATAATTCTAGCAACACAACCTGCTCTATTTTGAAAAATTACCTTGCTTCACATTTGCAATACTCAGCTGTTATTTTCTGCCTGGCCACTATTTCTTCGTGAACATGCTAACCTATTTATAACGCTGTTGCATTGAGTAGAATAATTCACATGAATGTCCGTTACTAATGGGAGTTTCTTGTCGCAGCAAGACACAAGCATATAGAGTTACTGCACAATGACCACATGACCTCTTTGGGTTCAGCCCCACACGATCCATGATCTCCCTCACGGCTGTTAGCTGCACTTGGATCGCGGCAACTTAGTTTTCTGCACGTGAACCATGAAAAATCAATGCATGCTCATGCATGTTCATGCATAACCAGTCAGCTGGCCTGCTCGCCCACGCATTTGACAGGTAACAATTCCATCAAATTTGAGATATCGCTTCGTTCTTAGTCTCAAAACAGTTCTAAAGTCACCAAACCACGCTGGTAATCGATGGCTATTCAATGTTAACATCTTCAGGAAGACTTCAGCCGTTTCCCGAGAGTTTGGGCATCGTTGCCGTTATTTTTCACGGTGTTCTTCTTCCTCCTGTCTGGAGCTGCAATTGCATCCTGGAATTATTTGAAAGGTATTTCGTGCGGGCTGTGGGGGGTTCCAACAGGCATAAACTGACATCGCTGTAGGATAACTGGTAACTTTCACCCTTCGAGGTAGAGCAATGAGAATTTTTTTGTGGCGGTCGTCCAATTTTTGTGGCGGTCGTGGCTGTATTTGTGCACTTCCAAGGCTTTCATTCTGCCTGATACTACTCTGTACTGTATGGGAATCGTTGTTTAGGCACATGTAGCTGTCTTATTTGGTAGATCTGCTGTTTTCGATCACTTGGGACACTTTGTCTAGCCTATTTGTCTTTCGTTCGTGCCATCTATCAGTTTTGTGGGGTGCCTTGACCTGTATTTGTGAAGTTCTCGAGTGAAGACCCTAATTCTTGACTGGAGTCACGTCTTGAATTGAATTTGCTGCGTGAGCCCTCGTTCACGCAGTTGTACTTATCGTAATAGTCAATATCTGCTTGCTGGACGGACTAGCGGCTAGAATAGGGATGACCAAATGCTTGAAATGGTCCAAGTGTGTACTAGTACACGATTATTGTTTCCATCATCGTGAAATGCTCGTGGTGGAATTGCAGTCGTCTGCCTTTGGCACTGAGGACATGAGGAGAGTTGATTGTTACTTCTGCTCAGCAATGAAGCGATCATCAGCTCTCTTTGTTCTAATTATTGAGAGGACATACCGGCATCGCAATCAAGTAAAGATTAGGCAAACCTCGCCAACCTCCAAAGAGAGTCGAAGATATTTTCTCCAAATGCAAAGACGATCTTTGTGAGTTTGTGACTTGCATTTGCGTGCATACATGAGCAAGTCACGGACCACGGCACGTGCACGGTTACCATGCCATCTCGAACCGACGCCATCTTTCTAAGTTGCCGCTTCTTGACAGCCGTGCCCTGCATCAATGAACCATATGATTGATTGAATTCTTTATTCTCACGATGGCACCATGATGTCTGCTATGTTGATGCTGCAGTACTGCACATGCCATGAACACTGACTACACAAACACAGCAATGCAACACAGATTGTACGACAGCTCTATTGGCATTTCAAAACATCAAAACTCACTTGGAACAAAGTTTGCTTGCAGCTGAGTGACGGCAGAGTTGATAGTGTGAGTGACAACAAGATGTGAGGACGTTGGCTGGCTGACTATGTTCAGTGCCCCGGTGGACACGACGGGCTCGGATGATGTCGACGTTGATGTCGTGGCAGTCAGCGTGACAGCGGATAACTCTATATTAGCCTGCTGCAGTACGGCCGCAAGTTGACTGTCTTGATCAGTTATGTCGACATTCTGCGACAGGTCAAGAAACAATGCGGATGTTATTATGGTCTCCAGGTTGGACGTAGTTGGAGTGCTCATTGTTGAAGCGGTAGGTATGCTCGTTTGCGATGTCTCCGCATTGGCAGATTGAGTCGAGCCCGACACTCCTGTAGGAACTGATGACTGAGATATTGACTGATATCCAGAAGTATATCCCGGGCTTGATTCTGTTGTGCTGCCACTAGTTGTGGATGACAATGCTGATGCTGATTGATCTGCCGGTGTGGAACTTCCAGAAGCTGTACCCTCAGCAGGGCTGGTCTGTGATGATGATGACAATGTCGATCCGGAGGCACTCGCAACCGAGGATGTTGGAGAAACAGGTGATGTTGGCTGAGATGTAAGGAAAGTTGACCAAGATGTAGGTACTTCACTCGTTGAGCTACTGGTAGATGGGTAACTGCTGGAAAGTGGTGAACTGCTAGACGTTGGGCCACCAGAAGATGTTGATGTGGCAAACGCAGCTCCAGTGCTTGCTGATCCTGGTTGTGATGCTGTAGTTGCACTAGCACTGCTTGCTGATCCTGGTTGTGACGCTGTAGTTGCACTAGCACTGTTTGCTGATCCTGGTTGTGACGCTGTAGTTGCACTAGCACTGCTTGTGCCTGGGCTGCCTGTGGACCCAGTAACAGCTGTTACCAGTGGATGGTACTCTGTACTGACAGTAGATATGCCTATATGCACCTGGCTAGCAATAGTCTTCACTAGCTCCAATGCAGCGCTGATGTTGGCTGTCATCGGCTGGCCAGTGTTGGTGGCATTCACACTATGGTCACTGCTGTTTGCGTGCGATGAACCAACCGGTGCAGAGGTGTTGTACTCAGCTTGTGAATGGCTCTGATGCTGAAACACCGCTTGTTCATAACTGGCATTGCAGGCAATCTCGAATGATGTCAGCATGATCGGCAAGCTGGACAGAGACGATTCAAATTGGCTGGAGTTGAAGATGATGTTGGCCTCCCCGGCGAATCCCACCACAACTACCTCACTGGCCTGTTGTGTGCTGATAGTCAGTGTTGAGATCATCTGCGCACAGGCTTGCCTCTGCTCTATGAACACTTGAGGTGTGGTTGCCAGATTGATCAACGGAATCACTTGATTGTGCACACCTGTGACTGGATACCAACAATCGAGAGCAGAACACATTAGTCACAGAATGTGGGGTATGCGTGTATGTGTCTGTTGATCTGCACGAGTGTCACAATGCATACTACTAAGCCTTTGGCAAGTATTTCTAATATCTTCAAGCGCAGTGGTGAGTGGTGACAAGCAGAACTTCCCCCCGGGTCACCCACCCACTGTCATATGCATTCTAACGTTAGCTGTGCTTCAGGGAGATTTAGCATCAGTTCGACCCTCATGTTTCATGAGCTGTACCGTTGCTTCCAAGTACACTCTTAAACCTTCCCCGCCCCCCCCCCCCCCCGCCCCGCCCGAAGTATTTTGTAGCCTTACCCACGGAGCAAGTCTGATTGCCACACATCCGCTCCTCAACATCTTCTCCGTCACAGAGGCCTGGCTGCTTGCATGTACGCAGTCGTACTTGAACACCACCACCGCAAGACACCGAACATGAGAACCAACTGCTCCACACATTCCATTCTGCATGGATGCATAGACGGAAGAGAAACACATGCACACAAAATGAACGCGGCAATATCGGCTAGGGCGAAGTCGGAGGCAAAATTCCGTAACAGTCCATAAGAAGCAGCAGACTTCAGACAATTTTTCTGATGTCCCGGTTTACACATTGATACCATGGGTCATACCTGCTTTTAGTGAGAACAAATCCCAGCACAATGCCAGTTGTATACTACACAGTGAGACACATTGAGGGGAATGACCAATGTATTAGAACAAATGAGCAAATCAGTGGTACACAAGCATGATGTCTGTTCTCACACAGCTCCACTCTCACCTGACACAATAGCTTGCTGCACTACTGGGCCTATAGATGCCAGGTCACTGGCCGTTTCTACAATGTACACAGAAGCAGAGGGATCGGACGTCAGCTGTGCCATTGCAGCGAGGTCTGCACTGGCATTGGCAGCAGCGACGACAAACACCTCGCTCTGCGCCTGCAGACTTGCACTCAGTTCCACGTCGGCAGTGCTAACGTTTAGCCCGCTGTATGTCAGCAGCATACAGGCTGGCTGTGTCACGTTGCTCACAATCGCACCAGATGTGTAGTACAGGGCATGCAACTGTTGCTGGGCTGCTTGAAGAATGGGCAATGCACTGATACTTGTGCTAACCTCCGATGTACTTGTATATGTCGTTGTTGAACTGAAATTTGCGTACTGGGTGGCGGAGAAGAGGGCGTCGATCGACTGCTTGAACTGGACCACACTGGTGGTGGTCGTACTGGAATTCAGCACGGTGGTGTCAAGAATGTTTACTGTCGTAGTGGAGTTGTACATGTTGATAATGACATTGCTGATGTTCTGCCCCACGCTAGCCTGCAGCAGGGCAGAGTCGTTTCTAGGTAGCTGTAGCAGGTCAATGATCAGCTCTTTCGTCTCGCTGAAGAACTGCATGGAATGTGATGATGTCACCACAGGTGCCTCAACACATATGATGATGTAATCAGTGACGTTTCCCTTGGATATCTGCCCACTCGTGTAATTTCCTGAAGCACATACAAGGCAGAATCATGCAAAAGCCATTGATTGGATATTGCAGCTCATGCAATGCGATCGCAAGTGAACTGAAACTTTGGTTCAAAGAATTCTGCATAAACAGATTATTGCAATCTGGTTACAAGAGAATGCTCAAGTCAAACAATTAACTTTATACAAGTAATTGTCACAACTAGATGATCAGAAGATGATACTTCCCCCCCCCCCACACACACACGCACGCAAGTGCACGTGTACGCGCACAGATTCACATGCATACCTGCCCTCCATTCTACCCACCATGAACTTGGAACTGTACATGTCTAGTGCACCAGTTCTGACAATACAACATACCAGCTCGAGCACAGGCAACATGCTGACACGCTCTAGTTTCACTGGAGGATCCGGAGCAGCCAAGCAGCGGCCACAGGCAGCCTCGTTTGCGCCACTGAAGCCCACTGTCGCAGGACTTTGAGCACTCAGACCACTTTGTCCAGTTGCTCCATCCCGTTTCTGCATATCAGAAATGAAATGTAACGTTTCATGGTAAGGTATAACGGTAATATGAGATTATAGTTACAGGAATTTGGAGATCGTGAGAAACCATTGGTAGAGCTCAGTTTCCCATGGTAAGGGAATCAGAGGACAATATCCACCATCTACAACTATTGTTGTATCAATGTGACGATCTCTTTAAAAAGAACATCGGACAGAAGAAAATGGAAGGAAGCAACTTCATAAATGTATCAAACCCGCTGAGCCGGTAAAGTGACAGCTGTAAGAATTGCAAAGGGTTTGCACGGAACATTGACAGTGCAGCCTACCCATTGTTTTGCAACAGCCTCCCCATTAGCAACATACAACTCAAGCAAACACACACACACACACACACCACGTATAAAACTGCACATCATGACTTGCCTGGATACAGCTTATTCTGGATTGCGAGGACAATGTTCGCCTCCGATGTTCCGACCTCTCCTCCTCCCAAATCAGTGAAGAAGATGTTCTCTTCTATTGGTTCAGTGGCGATGGCAGTTATGCTAGTTGTTTGGGTTAGCACTGATGAGTTTGTAGAGTTATACACGACAACAGGATTGACAGTTACCCCTTGTGTCAACTGCTTGAAGATTTCAATGTCCTCTGGATCGATTTGAGTGTAGTTCTCTGACGATATGACTACAATACTGGCAGGCGTTGATGTTACCGAAATCTCTCTGACAATACTGCTCGAGGATGAGTGGTTATTGAGGAAGGACATGACATCAGATGCTTCGAGCACTGCCGACATATTCACCGTGCCCAAAGTGGAGAAGTTCTGCTGCTGAATGGTCTGCACAATGCTGGACACATCTGTATAGGTTGTAAGCTGTGAGCTGCTGACAATGGTCTTCGTCGTGCTGCCGTACTGTACAACGGTCAGCGATGTCTTGTTCTCACCTACCGTGAGAGTGGACACTAGATTGCTGGCGACTTTCTTGATGCCTTCAAACTCATACCCATTGCCACAGCCCACCAGCACCATGATGTCAGCGGGCAGGTCCTTGCCTGCAACAACACCGCAATAATGCATGAGCTGGTCAGTGTCTCTGCATACCTTTGGTTGCATCATTGCACAATCACACACTCAGCCACAATCACACACTCAGCCACAATCACACACTCAGCCACAATCACACACTCAGCCACAATCACACACTCACCCACAATCACACACTCAGCTACATTTTTGATACGCACAGCCTGCTCAGTTCCGCAAGGAATCTTCTCCTATTTTTATTTATTTTTTACTACAAAGCACTGGCCAGCAACATAAAAGGGGAGGTAGACAAAATTGGACAAGCGAACATTGACAACACAGAGGAGCCTGGCATGCGCGTCGATGAGGTAGGTCAACCTCCCCCGACCTAGTGGTCTCGAGTTCAACAGTAACACAGTCTGTTGGTCTACGCATCAGGAAGGGGAAATGGACAGAGAAAGGGAGAATGAGCATGAGGAGCTTCCCAGGAGAGGAAGAGTGAGAGAGAGAGAAACAGAAAATGATAATAATAGAGACAACCGGTTATTCTCAGTGCTGGTGGACGTCAGTGGCCCATAGCCAATTGGTCTGGCGGAGGTGATGCTAGGCCTTGGTCTATGCCTGGCACATAGCTCATACTGATGCTAGCCGCTTCATACTCCTGTGTTGGCCATGACAGCAATATGCTACCTTTTGCTAACTGCTCTTGTGTGTATACGTGGAGGGCGTGCTGGTATCTGACGAGAGCAAGTACAATCAGTGCAATAGCTGCTCATACTTACCAGTGTACAATCAGTGCAATGCTCATACTTACCAGTGGTCTGGCATGCTTGCTGCATACACTCTTCACTGTACGTGTCGACCAACGAATGGCAAACACCCGTGGCATTGCTGCCACAGTGACGCTGCCTCCAGCGAATACCAACACTGCACGTCTGCGAGCACTGGGACCAATCTGACCATGGCAGCCACCCTGAGATGGCATGAGCAAGCGGAATGATACACACATACACACAGACACATACACACAGACACATACACACAGACACATACACACAGACACATACACACACATACACACAAGCATGCATACAAACACACACACACACACACTGTACTGTACTGTACTGTACTGTACTGTATTGACAGCTACCCTAACGGGTCACGCCGCCCTCCACCCAAGCATGGGTATGATGAGGGGCAGTGGCAACAAAAACAAAAACAGCAAGCAGAGAGAGATAGCAGGAGAAAGACAGCGATAGTAGTACATCTGGTGTGCGACGTATAGAAAAGAGAGATGACAAGAGATACGCACAAAAAGGAAAATAATTATTTGAACTTGTATTATTGCAGTTCCGAAATAATCAACCAGGTGATGGAGTGTGAGCACCCGAAGTCCCACCTGGACTCCACTGGAAGAACATTCCACGCAGGGTTATCAGCGATAGGCCAAGCGTTGAAAAACAGCCATGAGGACACATCGTCTAGAAGTCCACTGCGCTCGAACTGAAATTGCAGGATCAAACAATTTCCCATTCGTCGTCAGGCAGCGTAACTCTTCTCCCTGCATCACCATCCATCTCCAGCAACCGTCTCCACTCACAGCTCATGTCTCTGCCACCACTGTACTCCGAGCTTCGCAGTTTGAAACCATTCGGGGGTCAGCTACACCACCGCGAATGGAGAGACGAGGACGACAACGGTCGTGACAGAAAAGACACTGCCCTGGCGACCACGTCGCGGAACCCTCACCCCAGCAAATTCAGAAACACGCTAGGGGCGACTCTGGTGGACCCAGAGCCACCCCGTGGCCTAAGACCAGTAAGAGGAACGACTGAAAACTCAGATAAAACGGAGCTACAAAAAGTGCAACCGTCCCCTTCAAGCACAGTTACACACACACACACACACACACACACACACACACACACACACACACACACACACACACACGCACACACACACACACACACACACACACACACACACACACACACACACACATACAAACACACGTACACACACACATATTTAATCTTCGTGCCTTACTAGAGCCCTGTGAAATGTGAAAATCACAAAGAGCACTGAGTCAACAACTTGAAGAACCACCCTGCTGTAGCAGAAACATGCCATTCGTGTAGAGAACCCATTATCAGAAAGCCAGAATGAAAACATAACATGCATAATATGTCAAGAAGCGGATCCACTTACCTGGAGTTATCACCGTGTCGATGGTGGCAGCAACTGACGATAGCTGCCCAGATCCGTTGCAGATATACGAGTGTGAGGACACTGGCTGACTGGAGATGGCAGCAAGAGTGGCAGGAGACGTATCAGCTTCCGTGCTGACAGCATACATATTGATCCCAAGTTGCTGAACCATGGCAGCACTTGTCACAACGTTGGCATCGATCTCGATTGGACTTGTCAGTACAGTAAGGAGCTCAGAGGTGATGGGCAGGCTGTGTACATCACTAGCGTTCACTGTCGCTCTCGTGGCATTGCTCACCACCTCGGCAGCTGCTTGTAATGCCAAGTTGATGTTAAGTGGACCCATGTCTACATACACGAGCTGCTCTAGCTCAGCCAGGACTGCCTGTGTTGTCAGTACTGCACTTACTGATGACGACGACGACGACGACGATGACGATGTCGAAGTGTAATTTCTGGAATAAGAATATTGAGCGGCCGCTGTAGCTGATATGGCTTGTGTAGTTGTTTGCCCGCATAGCATGACCGAGACGTAGCTGCCCTGTTCCACCGACACGGGTTGGTTGGCTAGGACCTTCTGCACGAATCGGACGGAATCCCTGAACGTCTCGTTGCTGGTGTTAGAGGACGAGTCCAGCAAGAATACAAGATTGGATTGGTACGTAGTACCAGGTATGACTGTAGTCACATACACAGGCAACACAAGAGTACAAGGGAGAGACAGTATACCAGACAGTCAGTTCTATTAGGTCATTTCAAGTGAACGCAGCAACTGCCTCTCATTTTTTAAACAGCATCAAAGGAAAATGCAGTGAGCCAGTTGATCCGCATATACCACATGCTCCCAAGTAAAGACAAACAACAAATCCCTAAAGTTAGTAAGTACAAGATGAAGGAGTACATTTTTTAGTTACGCATGATTCCATTTCAGATGAATACGAAAGCTGTTCTCGTTCCCACGCTCTGCCTTCCTGACAGTGGCCGCTTTGGCTTCTCTTGCGGAGCCTTCTCAGTGTGAAAGCAGCTTTTGAATATTTGTTTGACATGCCACCCCTTCCTACCTATCTCATCCTCTTCGGTGCAAGGCCTTTGCGAGCACTCCGCCACATCTGTTGTATTGCCACTGCACAGTTCTGGCGACATCTTGCATCTACGTGTACGCCAGCGGGTACCAATACCACATGTTGCAGCAGAGCAGGTAGACCAGGATGACCATTCAGTCCAATTCGAAGAGATTTCTGCAACAAAGCGAGAGAGCGCAAGAAAATTCGATATCATTGGATTCCTTCAGTAGGCTATCACAACTGTTTTACGCAAACACTCATCATCTAGTGCTGTGTCCTTGTATGAAGATTGAGCCAGTGTGTTGCAGTCAGACAATGTGCATGCCATGCCATGCACTGATGCATACACACACTAAACATCCCAGCGTCCCCAGCACAGACGGAGACTCCCTTGATTTAGGCTAAGGCCTGTGGAGAATCCATAAAATACAAATACATGCATACAGTGGTTTCTTACCAGATTTCTTGATCTGCAGCTTGAGTGTGTCCGTCACACCCACGAGGTCCGTATAACCGGAGCACACGAACAGGTTAGCTTCCACCGGCTCGGTTGCAATGGCACGGAGGCCTTGCAGACTGACTGCAGTAGTGCTACTACTGGTGGTGGTGGTGCTGCTGCTGGTGCTATCATTGCTGGTGCTATCATTGCGGCTGCTTCTACTGTCAGTACTTACAGGCAGGACTACAGGGTATATGCCGGTTCCGTTGAGTTTGATCTGCTCAGCGATCAGTAAAGCCTGGCCAGTAATTTCGGTCTCCTCAGGCGGAGTCATGATAACAAGCGACGAGCTACTGAATGACGTCTCGGTGGTGCTTGTGACGGTAGCGCTGCTTGTCACGGTGCTCGCATCAGTTGAAATCTGTACTGCTTCAGCGTACGACAAGGCTCCATTCAGATTCCCAGTGCCCAGGTCCCTGTAACTGACATTGGTCTGGACAAGTTGAAGTACCTGTTGCAGGCCGAGGGAATGTTGCTGCTGTTGCTGATGTTGCTGCTGCTGCTGGATGTGTCGGGTATCCACGACCGTTTCTACACTGTCACCATACAGGGCTACCACCACTGTGCAAGCAGAGAAGTCGGTTTGCTGTTGCACAGCACTCGTGATGGAGTCGGAAATAAACTGACGCACGCGCTGCGCATAACTGAAGTACCACAGGATGCGTACGTTGATAATGAACACCAGCCTCACACGTCGATACGTCACTGAGCAAACGAGCACCAGACAGATAGACAAGGGTCAATACAGTATACTCTACCGTGTTTGCCATGCATGTAGTCAACACCACCAAGACAAGAATGCTAGCATAATGATAGGCAGCACACTACTGGCCAGTGACATTCAACCTCAGGCAGCACAGCACATGCCTAGGACTACAGACATTGGACTGTGCAGCATTCAGCATGGCACTGCTGTATTCATGGAGATGTGGACTGACCAGCATAGCAGAACACTGACCTAGCATTCACGCTCACAGTGGATTTCAACATTGCCATTCATCTTACCGGCAGTAGTCTGACAAGCGCTCGCACTGCTGGCTGTGTAGCACGATTCCTCCTGCACACTATCACCAGCACAGCTGCTGCTGCTCGCAGTGTCGGAGTAGCACTGACGCACACGCCAGCGGTGACCACTGCACGAGGACGAGCAAGCTGACCACTCCTGCCATGCAGCCCAGCCATACTCTACACACAGGCACACAGAGACAGGTAGCATCACACATTGCTGCACATACACACATTCCATACCACCTTGAGAATGGTAATGCTTAAGAATTCCATTCCAACCCTACTCTAGATTCGAATTTTACAATTCAAACTTCCCAGCATCACCCGCCTCCCACATCTCACTACTGATGGGATGTTAGCATCATGACACCATTTGCATTGCATATTGTAGCACTGCATGTAGCACTGCATGTTACTTGATTTGCCGGGAACTTATATCCACTTGATATGCTGGACATGCAGACTTTGTGCGATCACTCAGCGTACACCAGTCTGCACTGCTGAGTGGCGGTTACGTACCTGAGCGAATACTTGTTGACACTTGAGCAGTCAGACCAATCGTCCTCCGCAAGCCGCTACAGGAGAAGGCGTACGTCTCTTGCGGCTGACTTGCCAAGCTCAGGAGCTGTGATACACCCGCACTTTCCTGCTCTTGCACTGCAGCACTGGAAGCCGCATTTTCACTCTCTACGGCAACGACTGCCAGCGTCATTCCGGCTGTCTTTAGGCTTGCTGCAGCCATTTGCATGGCCTGTTGTTCAGCACTTTCCGAGACTTGAGTAACAGAGCTGGCAACTAGGACAAGGTTGTTTTGCACGCCAGTACTTAGTGGTGTTCCAGTGCTAACTTTGGCCGTCTGGCTCAGCTGAAGGTTACTTTGAAGGTATTGGAAACACGCCGCAATGCCCACTCCATTCTCCACGACCTCAACGGAGCTGTGATCGAATACTGAGATGTCAGCCATGGCAGTACCCACACTGGGATGGCTGTGCACTGTGGAGTTATACAGGATAGTGACGTGCTCTGTACCGTAAGCTAGCACAATTGTTTCACTGCCGTTGACACCCACTGGTGGGTCTTGCTGCTGAATCATGGACTTGATGAATGTCTTGGTCGACTCAAAGTCATCAGAGATGTTGCTACCAGGAACAAGAACGACAAGTCTTGAGGGCAGATATGCTGGAAAAGTGGAATTAGAAACAAAGGAAACGAAACAACAATAGTGATACTATGACAAAGAGGTATTCAAATGTACATTGATCCGATTATCTTGAGCAGGGTTTGAGCAGGGTTTGCGTGTATATTCTAGGAACGCGAGTAAAAATTAGCTTGCCCTTACTTGGTTTAGGCGCTGGACAGGTCACACCCGAGCTGCACATTTTATTCTCCAGCTCTGGGCTTTCACAGGCTGAAAAGGACCCAGCATGTCTGCATCGTAGTTGGCGCCACTGCGATCCCTCGCCACATGTTGCTGAACACGGTGACCATTCTGACCAACTGGTGGTTTTCGCATCTAGAAAAAGAGAGAAACAAGGACACACACAAACACCCATATACACACATGCACATGCGAGTTTGTGGAAATGCACACATGCACACATACACACAGACAGACAGACATACAGACAGACACATAGAAAGCCACACACACACACACACACACACACACACACACACGCACACACACACGCACACACACACACACACACACACACACACACACACACACACACATGCACACACACACACACGTACACATACTTGTACTTCTACTTACAGATACACGTAAGCACATGCGTACACATACCCACACACGCATGCGTACACATACCCACACACGCATGCGTACACATACCCACACACGCATGCGTACACATACCCACACACGCATGCGTACACATACCCACACACGCATGCGTACACACATACCCACACACGCATGCGTACACATACCCACGCATGCGTACACACATACCCACACACGCATGCGTACACATACCCACACACGCATGCGTACACACATACCCACACACGCATGCGTACACATACCCACACACGCATGCGTACACACATACCCACACACGCATGCGCACACACATACCCACACACGCATGCGTACACATACCCACACACGCATGCGTACACATACCCACACACGCATGCGTACACATACTAGTGCACAGAGTCGACTACGAAAATGTTTTCATGTTGGTTACAGGTTTTGTCATGTGGACAATTCTACCCGACACAGAATACTCCGCCATGATCGAGAACATGTTTCCACATAACTACAGTCACAAGATATGACTCTAGTATGCCAGGCCAGGGGATTGCACACATGAACGCTCACTCCTGTTTTCCCTTACCTTGCTGAGCCTGTTGGCTGATGACTGCCGCCAATGAAGTCAACTCTGCAGAGTCCTGTACGATGTAGTTGTGAGTGGAAGATGGTTCACTGACAATACTGAATCCCAGGTCTTCTTCTTCTTCCTCGGTGCTGCTCCCAGTTTGTTCTTGTTGTCCAGCTGTTGGGCCCACTTGCAGTGTGCTTATTCCCACAGATTCATTTTTCAGTGCATTGGCTAGAGACACGTCTTCTCTTGTGAGCCCAGATGAAGCGCCACACATGATCATCAACGACTGTTGACCAGCAGGCTGGGAGCTTGCTGTTGCTCCAGTAGCCGCAGATGTGTTCTTCATCAAAACGGTTTCTAGCATGGCAGTGAGGTTACTGTACGATGTTGCCACAGTGCTAGCATTGGGAGCGGAGAGCAGGTCAACAGCAGCCAGTGCCGTTGCCACGGATGGAAACTGCAGAGTGGCCGTATCGTACACCCAGTAGGCATAGGAGCTGTAGAACAGCAGCACCAGTCGACTTCCCACGGCGCTAATCGGCGGCTGCATGCTGCTGATGAACCTCTTCACAAACACGGTGAACTGGTAGTACGTGTATTGAGTGCTGATTGTTGTGATGTCCACAGCCAGTTGAACGGTCAGTGGTTCACTGCCATCAGTCGAAGCTGGGCATCGAGCAGTTCAAGAAGCAAAGAAACTCTAGTTCAATTATTGTTTGACTTGAATGATTTGTTTTGACTCAGCATGTTACTATCCAATCAGGAGATATGCGGTGCATACTAGCACTGTGTATTTTGGGTGTGTGTACTTTGATTTTCATTCAATATTGAGGCAACCGATTTCATACCTTTATGATCCCCGGCAGCTGTTCAAGGCCCAAACCTACCCTCTACACGCAGAAACTCACAGGTGTGTGTGCGCTTCCCGTGTCTCCAGATATCAAGTTCAGCTAGATATATGTCAATCGCAATTTCTGCTCGTGGTAGTAAGGGTTGATAAAACATGGTTAGACCGCTGGAAGACTGGTTTTATATCATACTTGTTGGCAGTGTCCGGGGATGTCAAAAGTGCATAGGGTATTGAGTTGTTGTACAGGGGTGTCGGAAGGTATTTTAGTATGGTATGATCAGCCACCTGAAGTGCAATTTACTTGTGGGTGAGGGGTGGCGGAGTCGAAAATTTCGGAAATTTTGAACCCAAATCAGTGTATTTTATTTATTCACGGGTACCTGGGCCAAAAGGTGGTACGGTCAATACCGTAGTGACCGTACCGTGTCCGACACCCCTGCTGTAAATGAAGGGATCATGGAGGTTTGTGCAAAGATCGTACTACTTGCCAGCCCTGCAAGACGATTCTCAAGATGCCCAAGTCTCCGAAGAGGAATTCTTACCGCACACGTACATCATGGCCTTACATTAAGTATGGACATAACTCTCTGGAGGCATAAACTACAAGAGACCATGATAACTATCCGCCCTGACTTCCGTTGGAAACATTGGCTTAATTCATGTCGCCATGCATTCCTTTGAAACGGCAACCTGGAGGCTCAGTATTAGAAACTTACACGTATCGCATGTGAAATTGTTGCAGCTCCTGCGTTCTGTGCTTGTTCCCGTGCAGCTTCCGGTGGTGTTAGAGCTGGGGCAATGGCGACTTCTCCACTGTGTGCCGGCATCACCGCAGGGCAGTGAGCACGGTTGCCACTCACCCCAGTTGCCCCAACCAACAACTGTCAGGACGTATGAATGGTGGGTGTCCAGACAGACGGGCGGACGGACGGACGAACAGACAGATGGACAGACAGAAACACATGCAAAACCTTGCTCAATCATGCACTTACACATCAGCACATCATTCTGGAATGGTGCACGGAGAGATTTCAAATGCGGTAAGCCATTCTTACTCGGTGTGGTTTGTGTTTCTATTATTGTTTGGCACTGGTTAAGATCACACAGACCATATTCTTCTTCTACAGACGTCCAGTAGGTACAGCTAATGTTTAAAATGTGGACCTCTTCTCTCGTGACAACTTTTATGAGCAAAGCAGCACAAGTACCATCTTCCTGGAATACCCCCCCCCCCCACACACACATACACCCTGCCTTAACCATGACCACCACATCAATGAGCTCAGTGGTCCAGTGAAGGATACACTTATTCCTCAGTACAGTAAACCAGGACCTCTGGTTTAAGCGGCCGCCCGACTTCAGCCACCTTGTCCTGCACGGACAGTTCTGTATACAAATTGCACTGGACTCAGATTGTGCGACTAGTTAAACACTTATTGTGTATCAATACTCAGCAATGCCTGCCCAGTGTGACCAGCAACCAACTTACAATAATTAGCAAACTACCTAACCGATCAGCAACCCACTTCTCATACTGAAAACAGTGTCGTTACCTTGTGACATATGGACCTCTTGCTGTAGGAGACTACACGTACTCTCCAGCTCCAACTGGCTTTGCACCGACAACGTAGATGTACTCGTAGTTGTACTTGTGCTGCTTGTGCTGCTTGTGCTGGTTTGTGTTTTGATGGCATACTGCGACGAAGGACTGCTGCCTATGCTGGCAATTAAACTATTGTAGCTGCCAGTCGTGGACACCGAGGCCTGGTCAGACATTGTCAAAATGGTGGCTCCGGCATACTTGAGCATACTGGAATACTGCAATGATGCTTGGTTTATAGTGTCGGTGGTGTCACTGGCGAGGAACACAAACATTGGCGAGCCGCTGGCACCAGTCGAAGCTTGATCGGCGCTGAAGTTTCCCAGCAGCTCCTGCTGCGCTGTCTGCAGTGCCAGCGTGACATTTCCGTAGCCCATGTCGGTGAAGGAGAGGCTCTCCACCGCATCCAGAGCACTGCTGAGCGTCCAGTTGTGGTGATGGGCTACATTGAGGACATACCTGACCCGTGTCCCATATTCCAATATGTAGATTTGACATCCGACCTGCCCGGCAGTGCCTTGCAATGATGTGATCAGTTGACGCACCATGTATTTGATGCGGTACAGGCCAACAGAGGTACGCATCATCCAGCAGCTAATCATGATGTACAGGCGTACTGGCCTTGGCGGTGGAGCTGTTCCGATGGGTACACAAGCAGATCACGACAAAACAGAACTAGCACCTGCAATTGCATGATTGACCCTTGATCACTGTGCATCAAATCACATGCAAACGCACATGCATGCAAACGCACACGCATGCAAACACACACGCATACTTGCACACCAGCATTGACCAGTACTGCCCAGAACGCTTTGCACGTTCTAGGCTCCGTACTACGAAACACATTGACTTACGTGGAGTTGGACAAGTGGCCATGTAGCAGCTGCTTGAGCCGGAGTTGCTGCCAAGGCACATCTCTGTGGTGTTATCTTTACACACTCTCCATCTCCATCTCTGTCCAGTGCCACAGGTTAGTGAACATGATGACCACTTGCTCCAGGGCAGCCAACCCACAACTGCAGGCAGCAGCAGCAGCAGCAACAACAACAACAACAACAACAACGTGTGAAGGCAGCATACTCATGCACATTGCAGCGCGGCACTGTTGGAAAGGTGCGTAATCAACAAGCAAGCAAGCAAGGTGTACATACTGTTGTTTTTGCGCTAGCCCATTCACCATAGCTGGATGTCATCCATATCCCACTCAAAGTTTGCAAGCATTGTTGTATCATACGGAGTTCTAGACCACACTGAACTCTACAAAATTCTACACCGTGCAATATGGTTGCGGAATACCTGCAGTCATGGAGACATACCTTGATCCTTGAGGACATTGGTGACAGTGGTTACCTTCCTCTCTAGCTGAGTAAACGTTTCCACTACACTGGTGTACGACGTCGCTGGCTGGTTCACCATGGAGTACAGGTAGCCAAAATCACTTCCCGGACACGGCAGGCCGATTCCCAGGATGCTGATTCTGTTCTTGCGCAGTGTGATACACGCAGCAATGGCTGCAGCTTCATCGTCCAAGGGCAGACCCTGGCTGAGTAGTAGCACAGACCGCTGTCGAATGGCAGTAGTGTTGCTGTAAAGGGTGTTGATGATAAGCTGCAATGCAGCGCTCAGCTTGGTGACCGATGCAGTTACACTGGGCGGTGTATACGCGTTGATAGCATTGATCAGACCCTGTGGCTCAGAGTACTGGGAGAAGCCAAACACTAGCTCTGCGCTGCCGCCGCAGGCGACCAACGCGATCCTGCTGCCGCCAACGCTAATCTTTGGGTAGATCCTGGTGATCACATACTGCATGTAGAGTTGTATCTGTGATGTGCTAAAGGAGCTTTCGATCGACGTCACGTCCCACAGCAGTACCATGTCCACTGGAGCAATGATTGTACCTGGATGTTGGATATTGAAATCAAGGCACACTTGGTTTGAAATCGCATCACACAAGGCCAGCACAGCGTGATACCGATCATCAAACGGAAAATGTAATGTGTTCAGCCCCTTGAAATCCTATGAAGTAACTTGTACAGTAAAACCTGTAACTGAAGACTACCGGTACTACCGACCACTTCGCCAGGCACGGACGGTCTCACATTCAAAATGCACTGTGACTAGCGACTACCTGCTGAACGCGACCAGCGACCGCCTTTTCTTGCCCCAAAGACGATTATTGACCCGTAACTAGCGACCGCAATGTACGAAATCAAATGTTGCTCGAAGCTCCTTCTTGAAAATTTGCTGATTTTCCATGGTCCTGAAAGGACTCTTTCGATACTACAGCTGAACAAATGAACACAGGTCATTTTGACTGTGGAATCGGTGTGGACTGCACTACGCCTGTCCAAATTTCAAGCTCTGTCAAGAATAAACACGATAAGAAACGTCTTGGAGAGCGCATCGAAAGCGCTCTCTGATCGATGTTACTACTCGGAGGAGAAACAAAGACAGAGCGGCTCTGACACCCCAGTCATACAGACGAATCGACGATGGCATCAAGGAATCCAGAAACAAGCAGCACCGCAAGGTCCTGATGCTGAAGGACCGCGTTCAAGCAATCGAGAAGTTACAACAAGGACAGTCGGTACGATTGATCACATGAACAAATTTGAAGCCCAGCATAAAACGAAACTTCTACAGGGAACGTTTGATTCCTGGTTTCAGAAGTAGCAGCTGAATTTGATGTCTGCAAAAAGTAGCCTTCTCCCTCTGTCTCTCTCTCTCTCCAAGTGTTGTTTGATCTGAAATAAAAATGGCATTGCGCAAGTCCTGGGGAATCGTATTAGCTGCATTTTGACATACATATCATATACGGGATCCATATATGGTCGCGCAGTGCAAACCTCTAACTAAAGACCACCTGCCACTAAAGACCGCTTTTGCTGGCACCAAGGGGTGGTCGTTAGTTACAGGTTTTTACTGTACATGTAAACTACAGGTAGGTGGGATGTGGGAACTGGGAAGCCTTGCATGCACATTGCACACCATTGCACCATGCATTACATCATGCAATACATCATCTTATAGGGCTTGAAAGTGATGACAACAGAAGTCAACAAATAATGACAAATAGCGACTTTGGTGTTGAAGTGGGTCCACTATGACCATAGCGAAATATAGTGTGTGGTGGGTAGGCCCCTCGTGTTGCATGCAGGTGTGATTTCTTCTTTACCGGAGTGGGTCCCCAACCGGGAGGGCCTAGGCTAGATACTACCGGCAGATGTGTCACTAACTCACTATCATGGAGTAGTAGATTTTACTACTCTCTGGTCACTATGCTGTGAAGGAAAACCACCCAAACCTGCATGGACCCATACAAAAACTGGATCCATGTGGATCCAAAAGTCATCGTTGTCATGAATCTGGGCTGGCTGTGACGTGGCACTTTCAAGACCCATTGCTGGACTGGTTAAAATTATGGTAACATTAGTAGACACCGACGTGCACACTACGCACAGCTGTGAGTGATGAGCCATGGTCATCAGTCAGAACTTCATGCACAATGAGCGTATTCAGGCTGGACGGGCTAAGGGTAATCTTACCCGAGGATGACAGCTTCACTGGGCAAGCATCTGTTGCGCATGCTTCTGACTCGATGGAAGGACCACTGCAGAGTTCTGGCATCTGGGCTGAGCTGCACGCTCTCATTCTCAGTCGTTTGCCACCGCCGCACGTAGCAGTACAGAACGACCAGTCACTCCAAGGCAACCAGGGTGATTCTGACATTGGCAAAGACCAGCAACAGCAGCACCAGCAGCAGAGTACTCAAGCTATCTAAAGCCTACAGCTGCTTTCAGTTTATGTGCACACTCTCCTATTATCTGTGTACAGTTTATGTGCACACTCTCCTATTATCTGTGTACAGTTTATGTGCACACTCTCCTATTATCTGTGTACAGGATGCAAACTTATGTATTATACATCTACCATTACGGCATGCACTATTTTCCAAGACTTTGTTCTCAATTTTCAGTTCCGGAGTTATTCAAAATGAAACGCATGCGTCGCCGCAAGCACAGCCAATCAATCACTTAACTAGATCCCTGTAGGCAACAGTGCACCGGTCAACAAAACAGGGGAGAATGAGACTGAAAGACAGAGTTCTTGTGTCATGAGCAGTCAAATGAAGCAGACAGGATCATCACAACGCAGCGGGTTAGCTACGTTCTGTAATGCTTGCTCGCCAACGTCAAACAAAAAGCATCTTACCTCGGTTGAGAGTTCTCTCACATACTCGTGCCAGAGCCAATAGCTGACCATAGCCATTGGAGATTAGGTAGTAGCTAGCACTGGGAATGCTGACGATATCCAGTAACGGAGAAGGCACATCATATGTACCCGAATCAATGGCATAAACCTCCGCTCCCATTCGTGTCAACTGCAGGGCAAGCTTTGTGCGCATCTCGTGCGTCTCACCAGTCCTGAAGAAGCCCGTGGAAATCAGCAGTACCACCATGCGACTAGAAAGCGATGCTGAGAATATGTCCAGTCGTGCCAGCTCCAGCACAGCGGACATGTTGCACGCGGTCTGTCCTTTTCGACGCACCATGTTGCCAATGCCCACCTGTGTCATGTAGAGTGTGGAGTGGGTGTCCAACCGGTACTCAACCTGCACTGTGCTACCACAACGTGCTAAAGCAGCACGGCTTCCTGCCTCAGGGTCTTCAATGGGTGGCTTAAGTTGCTGCACTAGGTGTGTAAGTAAGTACTGCGTGTACAGGAAATCATTGTCCGTCACCACAGCACTGTTATCATCAATGACCATGAAGAAATCAACCGGAATGGGTCCCAGTGGCCGTACCAGCAGCTCCACGCTCGGTGTCGAGGTGTTTGTATTTATTCCCGACCAGCTCACCAAGCAACCATACCGACCGCTGTCTGCACGCTTCAGATCCTCCACTGTTAGCCAGATAGCTGTGGTGTTTTGCTGGAATCCACCACTGCAGCTGTGGGTTTGCAAGAAGTTCGCCTGCACGATGTTGTTGAAGACTATCCAGATGTGACCCACTGCCCGACTGTCACCAACTGTACAGATAATGGTGACATTCTCCTTCTCATTGACTGCATCCTGCGACAGGTTGACTTGTATCGGTGATGTTGCTGCAGTCAGGAAGATAAGGACAGTGCATTACCGCACCCTTTGTGTATGGAAATGCGCAACATGAAACATATACGGTCTAAATTGCAAAGTACAGCTCAGATCATATAATCCAAGGTTCTAGCCAGGAATATAATGTAGGGGGGGGGGGGGAGTAAGGGAAACAAAACAGTTCACCCATCTTCTCTATGTTCCATTATTGCCTTGTCACAAAGCACAGAGCGTCCGGAACGATCGATTTGATGTGTTCCTCTACACGTCAGGTGATGCGGCTGCGAATCCGGCTAACTTTATTATTATTGTTTTGTTTTTTCACGGCTGAGCGTAGCGAAAGAGTACAAAAAACGTATTTTTCACTCACAAATATTTTCGTGCATTTGCTCTTGTTCTGCGCAACTCCGTTGAACCTGCCATCGCGGTCTTTGTTTTTCCTCGTGGTAGTTGAAGTTGCCCGCCCACCCACCCTGGTTTCATGGGAGTCGTCCGCTGTTCTTCTTGACAATCTATGCCTATGTGTGTGGCTTATGATTATGACATACACCGGTTATTACATACCATTTCTTGCTATCTCTATTCTTGGGTCTGACTGGCAGCGGGGCAGGAATTAACGAAATAGAAAGGTTTTTTGGCCGAAAGGCGTGTTTTTCCTCTAGCCCGGTTGAGCGGTCGCGGCTAGGAATGTAGGAAGCCATTGTTTTTCAGGCGCTCCCCTGCTGCCCAGTCACCCATGCTCACCACTGGCCATGCTGTTTCACTTGATTTCACGGCCTTTTCTCCCGCTTGCTGGCGGTTCTTTGATGGATTTAGATGTTTTTCGGCTATTTATCTATTATGTGGCTGCGAGTGTGGTTTTTTGCTTCTACTCATTTCTGGAAAACCACCACGGTGGTGAGTGTGATTGCTCTGGTAGACCACTACCCCATGTACTGAACAGTCGCTTTGTGAGTGAAAAATTATTATTTTCGCTGTGTGAACTGAAAAATCGAAAAAATGAAAAATGAGTAGGGTGGTGCGCTTCTAGAGTAGAGGAGCGCTATGCCCCCCCCCCTCCCCTTGGCTAGAACCCTGTAATCAATCCATGGCTGGCGGCAGAGCCAGTTAGGCCCACTTCCTGCAATTGACAGCATGCTTAGGTATTTTCCCCGCTGAACACATAGACTCATTGCAGCTACCGATACCTTGTTTTGCATGTACTCCTACAAGTTCTAGTGATCCCAATGATGGTACTCGGGCCGAGAATTTAGAGTGATTTCCAATGGCATGCTCATACAGCAACTCAAACATGCAGCGCTGTTCGGCCTCATGTGTAGGATCACTATTGACAAAAGAATGGCATAGCGCAAGCTTCGGTGCTTGATATCAGCAAAGAGAGTTGTGCAACACCTAGTTTGTTCTTACGTTGCTCCACCACGGTCAGATCGATACTTGCTGATCTTATTAGGTATCCATCAGGCCCGAACGAAATAGCGCAGGTGAACGTATGGCTATCGAATACGATCAAGTCCGTGATGACGAGAGTAGAAGCGTTCCAGCTCCAACTGGACAGGAGCCTGCCGGCAAACACTTCAGAGGCAGTCGTTGCATTGTGGGATATTCGGCTGGACGACCCGGTGGTATTTACAACACTCCAGTGCATGGACTGTGAGTACATGAATGCATACGTCAGCACTAACTGCCGATCATAGTCACATGACACCGTTACACTGCTGCTGACCACCATATTTGGCCTCGGCTGCATAACTATGACAGGCTGAGCTGCATATATCAAGGCACAAACAGAAAGAGAATAGAATATAGAGATACAATAATTTGGCAGTCACTCATTCAGGAGGATGCTTATCAAGTCACTGACAGGTCAAGATGACCGAGTAATGGAGGCATGCAATCAGACATGCATGCTTCAAGCTGAAATATGTCTTGCAGACTCCTCCCCGGGGCTTCCCCCTCACCACACACATACACACATATACACACGCATGCACACACACACACGCACACATATACACACACGCACACGCACACACACACACACACACACACACACGCATACGGACACACACACACACGAATATTCGATCGAAGAAAACCAGAGTCAACGAACTCGGGACCTCGCCCCAAACTCCCTTCACTACCTTCCTTGCGACAACGATATAGCAGCATGGTTATGTAGTTTCTGCAATCTATCAAAAACGACTGCGGGTTTTGAACGCATCTCTCACTGCGTCATTGCAGTCTTGCAGATACACACCGATACACCTTCTGTAAATCAGCACCATTGGGACGGAGTTCCACAAACAACAACGGGAACTAGATACAGCATGCTCTATGGTGAATACTTGTGGTCAACTTAATTACCGGTGATTGGCAGAGACGTCAATGGAACCACTGGCGACGTATACTGACGAATGATACCAGGAAGGCGCAGAATACATTGGCACAGTTGAAGTGGAAAGGCTGTTGTGTTGCGTATCGTGAGAACTGAGCGATCATTGAGCCGCTCGGTGGCTGCAATACCAACCCAAGTCATGTGCGCAGCAGATTCAATAGTGCCGGGATCAGCTGCAATGCTACTGCCATTGATAAGGAAATGCACTGTCCAGTTGTTGACGCCCATGGCTTGAAGTGGACTGATGTCGTACAGACAAGAGATAGTCACCACTGTAGCCTCCAGTACTACAGGCTGTGGGTGAATGGACAGTGAGATGTTGACTGCACAAAACAAAGCAAAGAATGGAAGAGACCACTTTCTCAGAGCACTGCCACCAAGATCAAACATGGTCTATTTCCGTCCGTTACACACCACAATGTCTACAAACATGAGTTGTCTATGCTGAAATACCTCATTAAATGTACTTGACCGCAGTTTAACAGTCACTACTAACACTGCATGTTCTCTGTTTGAGACCCACCATACAGACACCCTGCCTGGCAGGTTTTCCCTGTGGCCTTGTTGGTCTGCAGAGGACTGACCTTTAGGCAGGATGGTGACAATGCGCTGCTGCGAGCTGAGGGACGTAACGTTCTCCACAACGATGGAGCACTGACATCGGGCCAGTGACCAGATATTGAACTGACTGGAAACATTGGCATACGCCACACCAACGCCGGAACTGAATTCCAGCGTGGATAGGAAATCTTCAGCTCCCACCTGTGCCTCGTGAACACTGCCATCCTCCCAGACCTTCATGCTGGAGTTGAACGTCCACAGAACTGTCCAGTTGCTGTAGCCCGATCTGACCAGCTCTCTTGAATCATATTGGCAGATCAAGTGAACATTCTCCCCATCCACTGCTGTGAGGTATGGCTGGACAGTAAGCTCGGGAACCGCTGCAACAGCACGAAAGAGAGCGAGAGGAATACGTTTTTTTTAATTTTTTACAAAGAACACAGCCCTACCAAGAGACATGTGGAGACAAACACAAAACAAGACACAGGGGGTGTAGGGACGATGTGTCGATGTACACGGAGCAACTCGAAGGACCAGAGGTCTCGGCGTTAGCGTTGCAACCTGGCATCGATACCATATTCTTACTCCATAGTCTTACTCCATAGTCTTACTCCATAGTCTTACTCCATAGTCTCACTCCATAGTCTTACTCCATGGTCTTATTCTATAGTCTTACTCCATATTCTTACTCCATGGTCTTACTCCATAGTCTTACTCCATAGTCTTACTCCATAGTCTTACTCCATGGTCTTACTCCATGGTCTTACTCCATGGTCTTACTCCATGGTCTTACTCCATGGTCTTACTCCATGGTCTTACTCCATAGTCTTACTCCATAGTCTTACTCCATAGTCTTACTCCATAGTCTTACTCCATGGTCTTACTCCATGGTCTTACTCCATAGTCTTACTCCATAGTCTTACTCCATAGTCTTACTCCATAGTCTTACTCCATAGTCTTACTCCATAGTCTTACTCCATAGTCTTACTCCATAGTCTTACTCCATGGTCTTACTCCATAGTCTTACTCCATAGTCTTACTCCATAGTCTTACTCCATAGTCTTACTCCATAGTCTTACTCCATGGTCTTACTCCATGGTCTTACTCCATGGTCTTACTCCATGGTCTTACTCCATAGTCTTACTCCATGGTCTTACTCCATAGTCTTACTCCATAGTCTTACTCCATGGTCTTACTCCATGGTCTTACTCCATGGTCTTACTCCATGGTCTTACTCCATGGTCTTACTCCATAGTCTTACTCCATAGTCTTACTCCATAGTCTTACTCCATGGTCTTACTCCATAGTCTTACTCCATAGTCTTACTCCATGGTCTTACTCCATGGTCTTACTCCATAGTCTTACTCCATGGTCTTACTCCATGGTCTTACTCCATGGTCTTACTCCATAGTCTTACTCCATAGTCTTACTCCATAGTCTTACTCCATAGTCTTACTCCATAGTCTTACTCCATAGTCTTACTCCATAGTCTTACTCCATAGTCTTACTCCATAGTCTTACTCCATGGTCTTACTCCATGGTCTTACTCCATGGTCTTACTCCATAGTCTTACTCCATAGTCTTACTCCATAGTCTTACTCCATAGTCTTACTCCATAGTCTTACTCCATAGTCTTACTCCATAGTCTTACTCCATGGTCTTACTCCATAGTCTTACTCCATAGTCTTACTCCATAGTCTTACTCCATGGTCTTACTCCATAGTCTTACTCCATGGTCTTACTCCATGGTCTTACTCCATAGTCTTACTCCATGGTCTTACTCCATGGTCTTACTCCATGGTCTTACTCCATAGTCTTACTCCATGGTCTTACTCCATGGTCTTACTCCATAGTCTTACTCCATAGTCTTACTCCATGGTCTTACTCCATGGTCTTACTCCATGGTCTTACTCCATAGTCTTACTCCATGGTCTTACTCCATGGTCTTACTCCATAGTCTTACTCCATAGTCTTACTCCATGGTCTTACTCCATGGTCTTACTCCATAGTCTTACTCCATAGTCTTACTCCATAGTCTTACTCCATGGTCTTACTCCATAGTCTTACTCCATGGTCTTACTCCATGGTCTTACTCCATAGTCTTACTCCATAGTCTTACTCCATGGTCTTACTCCATGGTCTTACTCCATAGTCTTACTCCATGGTCTTACTCCATGGTCTTACTCCATAGTCTTACTCCATGGTCTTACTCCATGGTCTTACTCCATGGTCTTACTCCATAGTCTTACTCCATTGTCTTACTCCATGGTCTTACTCCATAGTCTTACTCCATGGTCTTACTCCATGGTCTTACTCCATAGTCTTACTCCATAGTCTTACTCCATAGTCTTACTCCATAGTCTTACTCCATAGTCTTACTCCATGGTCTTACTCCATGGTCTTACTCCATAGTCTTACTCCATGGTCTTAGCCAGAGAACTACAGTGTAGCCTACTTTTCTCTTGAAAGAGAAAATGCCAACTCTACAATTCCTCACCCGAATGCTGCACGACTGCAAAGTGGTCAACATTCGATTGTTGCAGCGCGTTGTTCAGCGCTGGGATGTGAATGGTGCAGCTACACGTGACCTGCGGCGTTGCTTGGAGCAGCATAACTGGCAGGTCAGAGGAGTCCATTGTGAACCAGGCCAAGCTAGAGTTTACATGTCCCAATCCAGATAGGTAGCCATGTCCCTGAAGGACGGTTCCATTGCTAGACACAACGATGGTATTGTTGATGCTGAACGTGACATGCCATGTATAGATGCCCTCGGCTACCAGCCAATCCGTGTTGTACAGACAGCGCAGGCGAACGGTTTCGTTAACCGAAAACAGGAACTTTGGCTCAATAACCAGGACAGGAATCACTGCAGTGGGAGAAGCACAAGATATGTGGTGCATTGAGACGTAAATACACGACAATATACTTCAAAAAGTACTCATATAATTATAGTTTGTCTTGTATGTACGCACTGTTGGTCTATTGGTGCACAGGCTGAGCGGGAGTAGTGCAACGTGTCGGTTCAGAGCAAGCACAGTACATGTAGAATTGGGGAAGTGGAGGAAATTATGGGACTTTTGCAAGGCTTCAGATGGATGAAGTGGCACAGTCCTGAATCTCAGATACTGCAGACTGTCACAACTGCTTATTTTCAGGCATTGTCCAGGGAATACAGGGCAGCAAGGGTGTGAAGTACACGTGGTACACGATGGGATGAACCAGGTACATGCGTGAGTAGTACAATACCTTTCCACCAGGCAATGGGATGGATCAAGTACAGGCATGGGTACATCATCTTACCATCAGGTATGACTGAGATTGTAACTTGATTGGACTGCACATGTAGCGGCTGTTGGTAGTGCTGGTGCTCCTGGAAGCTCTGCGGCTGGTGCTGCTCCTGGTGCGTCTTCAGGCGACACCTGCATGTCACACCACTCATCACAGAGGCATTGCTCATCACCACCGTGCTGTTTCCCGCCACCGAGTAGAAACTGAGCGGTTCTAGGAGGTCACTTAGTGATGATGTGTTAGACACAGTTGTTCCATTGTCGCTGACCACATAGGAGTGATTGAAAACCCACTCGACGTACCAGTCGGTAATTCCTGCGTGGTGCAGAGGAACTGTGTCATAGACGCAGTGGAAGCTTGCTTCGCCATTCTCGGTTATGACTGGGCTTGGTGACTGGATCACTCGAGGAATGGCTGTACAACACGATTCAAATATACCACACGTCAGAGAAGCCCACACATGACCCGGCATTGGAAAGCTCATAGAGCATAAGAACTGATCACAATGTAAAGGTATGAGCAAGGTGAATTTGAACAAGTCTCCCATGACATCGACCACTGCATGTGTCGCACGTCCTGTGGAACCGGCCTGGCCAATACAGTGCGCAAGTATGCCATCCTTTGAACTTTTTAAATACTCAAAGTACCTCCATAGTCTTGCTGAAATGTTGCACCATCACAGGCACAATACAAGCTAAGCGTTCATGTGGGTGTCATACCTACAGGGTATTGCATAGCTACAGGGTATTGCATACCTACAGGGTATTGCATACCTACAGGGTATTGCATAGCTACAGGGTATTGCATACCTACAGAGTATTGCATACCTACAGGGTATTGCATAGCTACAGGGTATTGCATAGCTACAGGGTATTGCATACCTACAGGGTATTGCGTACCTACAGGGTATTGCGTACCTACAGGGTATTGCGTACCTACAGGGTATTGCGTACCTACAGGGTATTGCATACCTACAGGGTATTGCATACCTACAGGGTATTGCATAGCTACAGGGTATTGCATAGCTACAGGGTATTGCATAGCTACAGGGTATTGCGAGAGACATAAATCAAAAGACGTTTCTTACCTTCTTTGGAGAGTACAGTGAATTTCTCTTCATTCGACAATGTGCCCGGACCTTCCACGTCATGCACCAACAACCTACACCAACAGACGATGTCTCGGTTTGGTAGAAGACTGGAAATCTGCAATAGTGTGGTACTGGCATTCTCGGCCACAAGGTTTGCATTTCCGAACAAAGTGGCACGCGAGTGAACCTGACGTACTGTCCCGTTGCTCGCAGCAACTGCTGAGTGGTTGGCGTAGACTGTCACGGTCCAATTCATGACGCCGGCAGAGATCAACTCAGCAGTGTCGTAGCTGCACTGTATCACCAATGTGTCGTTTTCCATGTACAGATGCCTGGGAAGGATGGCAAGCGCTGGTACCACTGGAGCAGGACAGTAGAAATCCAGAAATCCAGACAAGACACGTCAGACTTTCACAATAAGATCCAAGACCGTAGCGCATCCACCATAGCCTTGTCACCACTCTGTACTTATCCCAGATGATGATATTTCACATCTACAGAGCAATGGACTACTTTTAATGCATGTACGCCACATATCCCCCCCCCCCCCAACACACACACACACACTCACACACACTCACACTGGCTTCCCGGTACAGTACACTTACCTGGTTGAATGACCGCTATAGTGCGAGTGTTTGATGGCAAATCACTGCTACTAGTAACAATACGACAGGCACATTCAGTAGTTGGTAGCGAGGTAGGATGCGTGATAAGCAGAGTGCTGTTGCCAGATGCAGAGTAGAAGTCCAGGGAGGACATCAACGCGGAGTGATTATTCACGCCTTCCACCACACTACCATTGTCCCACAAAACGAGCATGGCATTGCCGATCAGCCATTGAACAGACCATGCTGTAATGCCCGATGTTTGCAGTGAGCTGCTTGAGTAGATGCACTCCAGTGTTAATGTGTCGTTGGACCAAACCACTGGACGTGGACTCCGGTACAAGATTGGTTTGGCTGAATAGAGTAAAATATACACATTCAAGATATGTGTGATGTGTAATCACCAAGATACAACAGGGCTCCACTGGATAGCAATGAAACAGAATGATATCGATGTTCATACTCATCACAAGTACATTTCAGATGACTACGTAACCCGTCCATGGCAGCGGCTCCCATTTCTCAAAAAGTGATCAATTCTTCACAAGTTTCTTGAGAATTACCCGACAACATATGTCTTCCGTAAGGTTTTCGCTCGCCGCTATTGCATGCTTGTCAAATACATTCAAAAGACGTTTCTTACCTTCTTTGGAGAGTACAGTAAATTTCTCTTCATTCGACAGTGTGCCCGGACCTTCCACGTCATGCACCAACAACCTACACCAACAGACGATGTCTCGGTTTGGTAGAAGACTGGAAATCTGCAATAGTGTGGTACTGGCATTCTCGGCCACAAGGTTCGCATTTCCGAACAAAGTGGCACGCGAGTGAACCTGACGTACTGTCCCGTTGCTCGCAGCAACTGCTGAGTGGTTGGCGTAGACTGTCACGGTCCAATTCATGATGCCGGCAGAGATCAACTCAGCAGTGTCGTAGCTGCACTGTATCACCAATGTGTCGTTTTCCACGTACAGATGCCTGGGAAGGATGGCAAGCTCTGGTACCACTGGAGCAGGACAGTAGAAATCCAGAAATCAAGACAAGACACGTCAGACTTTCACAATAAGATCCAAGACTGCAGCGCATCCAACATAGCCTTGTCACCACTCTGTACTTACACCGGATGCTGATATTTCACATCTACAGAGTTGTGGTTTATTGTAAAAGCACGTACGCATGTGCGCCATACATAACATACGTTAGTGCACGCGCGCACCCCCCCCCCCCCCTCCCCAACACACACACACACACACTCACACCGGCTTCCCGGTACAGTACACATACCTGGTTGAATGACCGCTATAGTGCGAGTGTTTGATGGCAAATCACTGCTACTAGTAACAATACGACAGGCACATTCAGTAGTTGGTAGCGAGGTAGGATGCGTGATAAGCAGAGTGCTGTTGCCAGGTGCAGAGTAAAAGTCCATGGAGGACATCAAGGCAGTGTGATTGTTCACGCCTTCCACCACACTACCATTGTCCCACAGAACGAGCATGGCATTGCCGATCAGCCATTGAACAGACCATGCTGTAATGCCCGATGTTTGCAGTGAGCTGCTTGAGTAGATGCACTCCAGTGTTAATGTGTCGTTGGACCAAACCACTGGACGTGGACTCCGGTACAAGATTGGTTTGGCTGAATAGAGTAACATATAGCACATTCAAGATATGTGTGATGTGCAGTCACCAACAAACAGCAGGGCTCCACTGGATATGTGTGATGTGCAATCACCAAGAAACAGCAGGGCTCCACTGGATAGCAATCAAAACTTTACTACTTTAATTTAACCCAAACAAAGCACCGGCTCCTATTTCTGAAAAACAAATTACTTCTTCACAAGTCTCTTTTAAAAGAATTGCCCGACAGCACATCCCTCCCGTAAGGATTTAAGTACTGCAAGCATGTGACATGGTATGCCAATGGAGTACAACAGGGTATGCCAATGGAGTACAACAGAAGCAGGGCGGTATTGGAGACACTACAACAGCAGTCCTACTACCCGTCATGTGCATATAAAAGCCCTACAATCGCCACGCAAAGTGGTCATTGGCTACCCCAGCCATGTATTGCTTGGAGTAGAATATATAAATAGATAAATAAATATCGTAACACCATCTTACCGGATGCGCTTGCTACTATGAAATGCTCCGTGTTGGACAGACTGCCTGCAGTGGAAAAGTATGGTATGTTCAGAACACAGTGGCAAGGTGTAGAACGCGTCAGCACCAGAGACGTGACCTCCTGCGATGACGCACTGATATTCTCCACGCTCATTCCCAGCTTGCCGACAGACCGCAAGAGATTGTCTTTGCCAACCAGAACCGTGCCATTGCTGGACAGCACGATGCTAGAGTTGATAACAAACCTCACAGACCAGTCGACAATGCCAGCGTGACGCAATGGCTGCGTGTCATACAAACACTCCAGGAACAGTGTCTCCTTCTCACTGTACAGTCGGCGTGGCTGTATACGCAGCACAGGCACAACTACACACCGCACACAGCAAGCAGGCGCAACACACAGCAAAATAAACCATCCAGTGGTGTAATAATCCGCGTCGGCATCGCTTCAATGTTCAGAAGCACACAAACTAGCCTTCGCATCTGCAGGTCACCACTATGCCTGTTCACCTTAGTGGCAAATGCAGACCTCACGAGTGAGTCAGGGGAGAGGAGGTGGTGGTGTGCTACACATACATATTGTACCATACTGGTCTACTTGTCGCTACCACCCATTCTCAGTTCTCTACTTTTACGGCATTTCCCGTATCCTCTTCTGGATAAGCAAACGAGAAGTGGCTGTTCAGGTTTCCGCTATCTTAACTGAATTCACACCCCAAACTATTGACACCATAAGTTGGTTGCCTATGCTAACGTGTCCCCTGTGCCATTTGCAATAATTGCCAGTCATTGATCTAGTCAGGAGTGTAAGCACCAGCATTCAGCCTGTTCACCGTCAAGTTAATCAATACCGCAGGCGCAAAAGATCCTAGCACATCGAAATGTTAATAACTGAATACTCAGATGCAGAAGCACTGCTATGCCCTCGCGAATTCACCATAGTGTAGCCATGTTGGTCACTTACTCGGCTCCAAGACGGTGATATCGACTTCATTGGACTGCAAAGCGAAGCTGCCACTGACAATACGGCAATGGCAATGTGTTGTCGGCAGTGTCCCAGGGTAGATCAGGGTCATGCTACTGTTACTAGGAACTGTACTGAACTGCAGTGACGGCAGGATATCTACTTGAGCGTGGGAGTTAGTTCTCAGCACGGTGCCATTGTCGAAGAAACTCAACTCGGACTGATTGAGCACCCAGTGAACTGACCAGGTGGTAATGCCGATCGCATGCAGCGAGTCCACGGAGTAGTTGCAATGGAAGTCGACGCTGGTGTTGGCCAGAACCACAGGGGCGGGTGTCCTCACCAAGTCCACATCTGCATTCCGACATAGAGTAAACCCATGAAACTGGTTTAGTGACCTAGAGGCCGGTGGTGTGCTGGTGTGAATGTAGGGGCTTGTGCAATGCTGCCCTACTGTGACCTACTGTGCACTACTGTGCACTACTGGGCACTCCTGTGCTATTATAAAAAACGTGTTGCCATGTAAAGTAGAAGCTAAATCATTCCTGGAATGCCCATATATTTGGATGTGGCTCAATACACAACAATTGACGAGTGTCCTATGATAATCTCAGCAGATACTGGTACGCACCTGTGGAGGGTACAACGTAGGTGTCCAGTGTGTTGGAGTGTCGTGTGTCATTGTGCAGGGGAATATGCAGGCTGCAGTCCCACTGCGTCCTTGGTGACACTCTCAGACCGCTGACTGCAATCTGCAGCAGAGATGTATTGGTGTGTGTATAGTCCACGGTGCCCAGCGTGCCGAGCGACCTATACCACACACTGGAAGACCTGTTGGCCCCGAGGAGAGCCGTGGAGTTGCAGAACATGACTGTGGACCACTCTTCAATGCCCAGATCTTGCAGAGCTGCAGAGTCGAATGTACACTTCACCACCATGGACTCATTCTCATTGTACACCAGCTTTGGAGATATGTCCAGAGTTGGGACGACTGAAGACGTAATGAAACGCACACACCACAGCAGGAGAAGCAGCCCAATTATTCAAAATGACAGCTCAGGTAAGTAATTTACGTCTCTCTTTGCTGCATAGTTGAAAGGGTTTGTTGGCACCAGGAGGTCGTAGCATCTCAGGCCGCGTTTACACGACAATGCTGGGGGTGAAAATGCAACCAATCCTTCCGGATGCATGGTTCGTTCACACGGTACGGAGCGAAACGAAAAAAGTTGTACACCAAACAGAAGAAAACCAAACCGCTGACCAAGGTGGAAGAATTTGAAAACGGAAATATTATGCCGGATAAATTCGGATGTGTGAACAGTCGAAACGGTGTGCTGGCCTCGTTTTCTGTCACGTTTGTTTTGTTTTCGCCCGTTCACACGGATCCGACAATCAATAAATTGTTTCTACAATGTTCGTAATGTGAGGAGTGTTGTCGTGTGGCCTGTTTTCAACTATTACGCGAGTGTGATTGGTGCTTCCATGACAACACTTGGCACATGACGAACTTTGGCGGATTTTTTGCTCCCGTGTAGATGCGCTAAAAGGATACAAACAAAGACCACCTCGGATCAGCTTTGATCGTGCAAACGCACAAAACGAAAAGCGGGACTGAAAACGGAAAACTGGCCATACGTTGTCGTGTAAACGCAGCCTAAGGAGACAGCGCGGTCAACTGGAACATTAATCATGTGGGTTTCTAGTAACGTTCTACCCCGGGCTGCCAATTACAGTCGCCCTTGGGGCAGGGCCGATGTACACATGCTTGTTGCATCACTTGCCTGTGCTGCGGCGGTTAAGGTCAGCAGATCAAATCCGCGGCCGTGATTGCGAGATGCACGTTTGAGCAATGCCACGTAGGACTTGCAAATCCGTGGTTGAAACGCACATCACTTCCGATACTAACGCTATGACCTCGTGCCGTCTCCCTGGATGCTACAGCTCCCTGATGGGCACATAGCATAACCTTTAGAACTGGTTTCGTCACCTAATCGGATAGTCAAGCCAATACAGTAGTACCCTGGGGTGTATGCACAATAGTTTCCTATCTGGCCAGAAATACCCCAGAAGGCTTCCAGGACTTTTTTCTGATCACATAGGCAGGGATTTAGTACGCGTCAGTGTGCCTTCACCATCACAACGGCCTCTCCAGGCGCAGCATGCATGTTCTGGTGCCTGGTCGTGCAGTTTCTGGACAGTATGGAAGTCAATATAATTATGTAGACGTTTTTCTGTCCGAACGTATCCCACAGAGTTAATAGCATCAGATCACCTGTAACTTACCCGGGGCAATCACCGAAATGTTCTTAGTCGAGGACGACAGTCGGGTATCGTTGTCCAACTCCATTGCACAGTAAACTGATAGGGGCAGCAGTAATGATGTAGTCACTACTGTGACTTCACTCATTGAATCATTTTGTTTGAAGTGGAACAACTGTAGGTAGGTAGCATTCGAATGTGCCATAAGCACACTGCCATTACCAGTAGTAACTACTGACTCATTGAATGTCCACACAACAGATGCTTGGTTATAACCATGACTATCTAACCAAGTCATGTTGTACAAGCATTCTAAACGAATAGCGGTTGAATTCAACACACTGACGAGCGGAGTCCGTGCCTTCAGCGCCGGGCCAACTGCAGGAACACAAATCATGTACAAAACAATGCCAGGTGAACATTGAAGCCAGGCGGCATGCAATCCTTTTTCCTCATGTGCGCAGCCATACGCAGACGTTTTGCTATGCCGGTATATTGAATATACACTCAGTAACATTGTGTGCTATGGTGTACTCCTCTGCATGCCACAGAGGTTCATGAAAATAGAGAGGTTTTGCATTCCGAATTTCAGAATTATTTTCGGAATGTGGCGGCAGCAGTCGAAAAAGTAGTCGAACTTTCGGAAGTGTGGTGGCGAAAGTGCAAGTTTTCCGAAAATGGATTTTCGGCTCTTTCATGTTTGGGAGTGCATATTTGAATACAAAAAAGTGTATTTTTCATGTTTGTGTTTTTGCTTTCTGCTGCTCTCGATTATTTGAAATTTTTTCCACGTACCGGGGTATGTAGTTTTGATTTTTGCTGGTTTTTGCTGCTCTCGCTGATCTCGCCATGTTGACTAATCTTCTCACACTCCATCACACTCTATCTTCCTTTGCCATGGAGCCTACTGACAGTACAAGACAGTAGTTCGCCAACCTCGTCTTCAGCTGTTGGATCACTTGGTCCACCATCAGTCCGTCCTCGTCTTCGAACCGCACCCAAATAATTCAGTTTGACCTGCACATGGATTTGATTCTGCTAGCTCAACCCCTTCGACGCTGTCCATTTTGTTTTGCATGGCAACCCTTGGAAACGAAGTCGAATCAGATTTTCGGAATGCAAAACACTGAAAATGCCGTTTTTCGGCACGCGCTTTTTTCGGAAAAGCACAGTCGAAAATCATTCCGAAATTCGGAATGCAAAACCTCTCTAATAAGTAGGGTCCCCCCCCCCCTGGCCCTACTATACAAGAAATAAAGGCACAGTCCGAGTCTCACTCCGAGTCACCATCGCCAATTTCCTTAGAGCTAATTCAGCGGAACTGACAGTTTAATTGAAGTCATGAAGCTTTTGTTTCTGGAGGAAGTATTTCGTTTTGTCAGAATACTTTTCCTACCCCCCCCCCCCTCCCCTGCCCTCTCTCTCTCTCTCTCTCTCTCTCTCTCTCTCTCTCTCTCTCTCTCTCTCTCTCTCTCTCTCTCTCTCTCTCTCTCTATCTCTCTCTCTATCTCTCTCTCTCTCTCTCTCTCTCTCTCTACTGCCTCACCTGGTCTTGGTATAACAGTCAGGTTTGCTTCATTTGACATCTCCACAGAAGTATTAACTTCCACTTGGCATGTCCACGTGCCCGCTGCACTTGTCGAACAATAGTCCAAGGTCAAGTTGGCATTTCCCGGCATTGCCGCGATTGCTGCATGTCCAAATGACAGCACTAAACTGCTGGCGTTTCCGGGCACTGTGGCGACTACCGTCCCACTTTTCAGGAAGCGCACAGTACGCACGGAACCATCACCATCCGACTCGTAGTGACAAATCAACAGCGTGGATCCGTGTTCGCGAATAGCTCCTGGCCTGATGGCAAGTTCTGGCGGCGTGTGTGGCGGTGCGCTTGTTGCAGCTGGTGTAGCTGCGCATGCAGGATACAATGTGATCAACACACACAGGTAGGCACCACTAACGTCAAGTTACGACCACTTCCTCCGTAAACCAAAAAAAAAACAAAAAAAACACTTTAAGATGTCAGTAGGAAGTTACATGACTTTGTACATCAGAATGGTACACTGTCCAACTGCCAACGAGAGTTGGAAAGCTTGTGTCTTTGCCATTGCCAAGCCACTGTGCTCACAGCAGAGACTTCTGTGCGTGTTATTATTGTCGTGGAAGTCCACAAGATCACAAAGATCTACAATTCCCATCTTCTACTGTCATGTACAAGAGTTTAGTCGAGCGAGTCATGATTTTTACACGGCTCACTGCCAGTACATTGTACTGATTTTTTCACGGCTCACTGCCAGTACATTGTACTGTTGTGGACATGGAAATCCAGTCGCTCGTCTAGCGGCCCCAGGGCGCTGGCCATGCAGCCGTGGATAAGCGGTACACACATTGATGTTTATGCGCTGCATGCAGCTAAGCGCTGATTCAGTGATTGCATTGGATTAACATGTACACTGCACACAGCGGTCTGTAAGCATGGTAAGTGCTGAGGGCGCCGGCCCTGGTCAATCGACTGCATTTCCATGTCCGCTACAGTACATGGTCCGACAAATCCGCTGGACCAAAACAAGGACTACAGTCAACTTCGCTAATAACGACTGCGGATATAACGACAATTCGCGAATAACGACAGAATTTCCATGCCCAGAGCAGAGTCCCATCCCACTGTAATACATATAATGAGACTTCGGGTATAACGACACTTCGCGAATAAGGACACCTTTTTGATGCCCCGCCGAGTGTCGTTATAAGCCAAGTTGACTGTACATGTACTGCTACTAGTACATATACTTGGACTGTAGTACTAGTACAGTAGTAGTGCCCAAGTATGCCGTAATGCACTGCGCGAAATGCCACACGACGAGCCGGAGCGGTAACGGAATTTGTAAAGTACAATCATGTATATTATGTAAGTAATTCCTGACACTGACAGGCCCGAAAAGGTACTGGAATGGGCTGTTCTTCACACGCCACAAAGATAGCTGACCTGTGCTTCTCGTTCCGGCATCGGTACCCACCGCCACCGCCATGCGCAGAGCGTAGCGGAGTACCAGCAACATCAGCAGTAACATTTCCCAGGGCCGCCAAAGTGTTGCAAACTGGAGTGAAGTTCTCCGGCGGCAAGAAGGCGACATCGCCTTGCGAACCAGCGAGGCCATCTTTCAGCGGCGAAGCACACAAACCTATTTTGTACACCGGCTACCTACTGTACCTCCTTGGCGGCATGCACCAAAGATGTCTTGCAATTTTAGCCAGCATATTACCATTATTCCTGAAGCGAACACTGCGCGTGTCGTCAGTGTAGCTGCTTCTCATCCAGCATAACCAGTCCGTGTACAAGACGAACTTCTTCTCTGGCCGAGCTTAGCAACTAGCTTTCCCTGAAACAACAACCATACACTTGTCGAAGACGGTGAAGCTGCAGCCAGCACGTACGCAACAACAATAGCGCATCCTATTTCCCCCTTCTTTTCAGTATTATCGTTGGGTAGTGTCAAGCGTGATCTCACCTTCCCTGATGACAGTACACTACTATTGTCTCTGCCACGAATAGGCGCACACGTCAATCGACCAGGCGTTCACACTCCTCCGTATTTCTTTGCGTGCGCGTGCGGTCGGGCGTTACATACACTACTGACATGTCACTAGTCTACCACGGTCTACCTGGTCTACAGTCTACAGTCAGTTTTTGTTGTAGTGTAGAGTCGAGATAATACTCCTCAGATACTAGACCTGCTGTACTACTGTAGCCTGTACTGCTGTAGGTGCTAGCGCAAGACCAGCACTAGCACCGCACCGGTCCGCGCCGCGGTGTGTCCGTACAAGCGTTAAAGGGGAAGTATACCCTAAAATCAATTTTTCACCAGTTGTAGTCTTCTGGGTGCTGAGTCGAATGGTCTAGGTCCGAGGAAGCTGCGACGCTCCCTTCCTACTTGAATCCCAATCGAACTCGCGCACTTCCACCGAAACTGGGTGACTGCGCCCTACTAGATGGGGATTTGTATGCAAAATGTCACTAAAAGCGCCATTTCGTTCTTATAAAAGCACGGATGACCGCGATTGGCCCATATGTTGTAGTCTTTTGGACGCTGAGTCGACTGGTTTTGGTCCGAAAAGGCTGCAATGCAGCGTTCCTCCTTTATTCCCAATCGAACATGGTTGAAGAAGCGGTCACGTGCTCCTGCGTACACCAGTCACCGTGCCTGCAGGGTACAACTTACTACATGTAGCCTGTTTGACCTTTTTTGGGTGCAGTCCTGTCACTCGAGTTGAACTCGAGTTGAACCTTGGTGTGAAAGTTGTCGCCTGCTGGCGCGGTGACCAGGTGATTTGGGCACCCAGGAGCACGTGACCGCTTGTTCAACCATGTTCGATTGGGAATTAGGGGCGAACGCTGCATCGCAGCCTTTTCGGACCAAAACCAGTCGACTCAGCGTCCAAAAGACTACAACATATGGGCCAATCGCGGTCATCCGTGCTTTTATAAGAACGAAATGGCGCTTTTAGTGACATTTTGCATACAAATCCCCATCTAGTAGGGCGCAGTCACCCAGTTTCGGTGGAAGTGCGCGAGTTCGATTGGGATTCAAGTAGGAAGGGAGCGTCGCAGCTTCCTCGGACCAAGACCATTCGACTCAGCACCCAGAAGACTACAACTGGTGAAAATTTGATTTTAGGGTATACTTCCCCTTTAAGCCCAGTCCAGGTGAGCAGAGACCGAGTTACAGACTCATCACCAGAGTGCGTGTAGATCTACCATGGTGTAGATCTACGGTGTAGTCTGCCAAGTTCACTTGCGCGCAGCTAGCGTGATTTGAATGCGAGGATTTCGCATCGGCACACTATCTCTTAGCCTGTCACCAGGAAACCCTATATACATGTATAGGGTTTGACATAACGCTACACATAAAGACCCTATATATAGGGTAAGGACCCCTAAAGAAAGGGTTTGATCAGTCCTCACAACTGGGCACACAATACACACAGTTTCACTTGTTTTTTTTTGATATTTTCACTGCATTGCCATTGATGTTAGCAGGAGCGCTCCTACGACGTGCGCGAGTGTCGCCGCATTTGCTGCTTCCGACCCACGTGTGGATCAGCTGATGCAGAAACGGCAATGGCGGGAGCGGCAGCTGCGACAGCCTCTGTTGATGCTTCGCCTTCTTCTTCAGGAGCATCCGACGCTGCTGGAACATCGACATCATCATCCTGAGTCGACACCAGGTCGCCAGGAACATTCTCATCGCCCGAGTTCGTCTCCACTAACTCAAGTTGCTCTTCCTCCATCGTGAAAAATCAAACCCTAGATATAGGGTCTAGAAAATGTTACGACAGCGCTGCACTAAAACTAACCGTACTCGAAGAAAACAGCAACAAAATGAGCACGGTCTTCAGCAAGAGAACCGTACGTACATTCTACGTATGTAGGCCCAGGCGTCTAGTTGCCATAGCAGCCAAGTAGGCTCTCAAGAGAGCTCAAGATAGAACGCGCGGCTGAAAACCCTATATATAGGGTTTGACAGGCTAAGAGATAAGGATGGTATCCACCCCGCAATCTAAACCAAGGACACCGTAAACTGTGTGTGGGCCGCATTGCAGCTTCGAATCTGAGTCGGATTCTGACGTCCAAATCTAGCCAGTGGACGTGCACCATCTGTACATACAATGATACAGTCGTCCCACTTCAGCACATTATAAACCAGCACCCTCGATAAACCAGCACAATTATCAGAAGACAAAATGTCCTCTTCATGCACATTGCAGCAGTAAATCCGATTTGCCAGTACCCTCCCTAATCGAATCCAGCAGATTTTCCATGGCACGAATGGCGCCGGATTATACTTATAGAGAGACCACTGTACACCTGTACACAGAAGCCTTGCGACGCGTAGTGCTCCTGACTACAACCATAACCATGATAACCCGGTTGTCAGAGTCCCGGTCTTGCGACCATTCGAACCGTATTGAACAATACTGCGGCGGCAACACGACGACATCTACAACATAAAAAAAGAATTATTTTCTAAATCCTACCAACCCCTAGAGTGACGAGGGTCCGAACCTGGGTTTTCCCAATACGGTTCAAATGGGCCTAAGACCGGGACTCTGCCAACCGGGTTATGGTTGTAGTCAGGAGAACTACGCGTCCTCCCCTTGTAACATGCTGTCAAAAATCGAAAAACATGTTAAAGGGGAAGTTAAGGTGGCAGTCTGGGTTCAGAGGGTCAAAAAACAAAGTTTCGATTTTCTGTATTTTTTGACTGGCAGCGTCTTGTGTATGGTCCAAAGGGTTTATCCTGAAAATTTGAGCGTAATCGGGTGCTTCCTTCCGGAGATATAGCCGCGCAAAGTCTGCACAATTGTTTTTGAAATACTGAAATATCAGCAAATTTCTACAAAATTTAGGTTTGCACACTATTCCGATTTTTACCGTCAATCTTTGAGCGATTTCAATTTTCTGGAGCGACTCCTGGTACTCCTCTGCGCTGCAGACTGACAGCCGCGCACGATGTTTGTCACCATGGCAACCAAGATAACTTTTGCGCATGCGCAAATTCAAAAAAATTCAAATTTCGACTCTCATGATCTCAGCTGATCGCTCTGCTGTTGAAACTAGTTACTTTTGGAGTAATTGTTTTGGAGTAATTGTTTCTTGGAGCTAACCCCTTCGTTGGCTACTATGGGGAAGTCTAGAGCCAAGGGAAAGCCCGGACGATCTAAGAAAAGGAAAAGAACGTTCTATGGAGTGTCTCAGGCGCCGAAGGCTCCCTCTGGTGAAATTTCGCCTGCAAAACAAATTCCTGACTTGCCACTGTCTGATGACGACCTTGAAGTGTCAGCTGAAGCCACGTCTTCAAACAGCGATAGTGATGGAAGTGGCGGTGAAGTCGACAGCAGTTCCTCCGACAGTGACTTGGATGAAGAGTGTGAGGAAGGGGCGCATGGATTTCGCCTGATTGATCTCGAGTGCCTTCAGCAGCTTTTGTCAGCTGCAGTTTGTTGCAGTGGCTGTAATGGCGCAGTCACGATCAGCGAATCGCAACGGGGAGGCCTTGCATCATGCCTGGAGCTTTCCTGTGTTAACTGCGGCGACATAGCAAGCGAATTTATGTCCAAGAAGTTCAATCGGGTCTGGGAGGTGAACAGACGAGCAGTATTCGGAATGCGACTGATTGGCCGTGGACGTCAATCAATGGTAAAGCTGGCGGGTGCACTGAATATGCCATCACCTATGAGTCGGTCGACATTTTACAGCCATGCTAAAGGCCTGCATTCCGCGTCCAAGAGCGTCGCTGAGCGTAGCATGACTGAGGCAGCTGAGAAAGCAGTGTCCGCAGCAGATGGGGGTAGCGATATCGCTGCTTCCTATGACGGTACCTGGATGCGCCGAGGATTCGCATCGCTCTTCGGAGCCTTCACTATAATTGCATATGATGTCGGCAAAGTGGTGGACTGCGAAGTGCTTTCAAAGTTTTGCCACAAGTGCACGCACTTGGCGTCTAGAAAAGAGAAGGGAGAGCTAACCAAAGATGACTATGATCGACAGATTGCCGAACACGATTGCTCAGTCAACACCACTGTATCAGCTCCTGCCATGGAGAGTGCAGCCGCCAAGACTCTGTGGGCCAGGTCCTTTGAGAGCCGCAAGCTGAGGTACACCACCTACATTGGTGATGGAGATACCAAGAGTTTTAAGGCTGTGCGTGACGCTTGTCCGTATGGGCCCGAGGTGCCTGTAGTCAAGGAGGAATGTGTCGGCCACGTTCAAAAACGCATCGGTACCAGCCTAAGAAAGCTGAAGAAAAACCTTGCGGGCAAGAAGCTTGCTGATGGGCGCACTATAGGCGGACGTGGTCGCCTCACGGATGCCATGATCGACAAGCTGCAAGCCTACTATGGCATGGCTGTGCGGAACAACAGCGGAGACTTGCAAGCCATGGCCAGGGCCATATGGGCATCCCTCATGCATCGTGCATCCAGCGACAGTAAACCTCAGCACCAGTATTGTCCGCCTGGAATTAACAGCTGGTGTAGATGGCAGCAGCAACAGGCAGGTGGTGATGTCTACGCCCACCACAATATCCTGCCAGAGGCAGTATGGAAGGAACTGAAGCCGGTCTACATTCGGTTGTCCGACCGGAGTTTGCTCGAGCGCTGCCAGAAGG